TTTTTTTTTTTTTTGGTACCCGGGATTGAACTCAAGACCTTGCTCTTGCAAGGCAGGCACTGGAACCACTGAGCTAAATCCCTGGCCCTCATTCCAAAGCACTTAAAGATGATAATACGTTTCTAAACGAATCTTATCTGATGGAGTGCTGCTTCTTGTAATCTTAGAAAAAGCTTTTTTTGGTACCAGGGATCGAACTTGGGATCTTGCGCTTTCGAGGCAGTGCTAAATCCCCAGCACTGAAAAAGCATTTTTTAGATAATGTCTATTGAGAGTGATTATGCACTTTACATACATTGACTACAGCTTTTCCTTGCTAGACATTAAGCATTAGTACATCTTATAATGCCTGTTACGGGTTTGTAAGTACAATAATTACCATGAGGTCTCAAGTTTCTGAAGGGCTTAGCAGTTTGTGCGCCAGTGGAGAAGGGGTGTCTGTAGAGGCCCTGGGGGCCTGGTTGTTTTCTGTTACTTAGGGCACCCTGATGTGGTTCTGGGCAAGGTGCTGTTTCTCCCTCCAGTCTGTTTCTTTACGAGTGAAAGGGTGGATGGGGAACTGGGAAGATTGTACCTGCTGGGCAGCCGGTGCTGTCCGAGCCCTCCACCTGCTGCTGTGTCACCCTCCCAGACACCCAGCTGACAAGTGGGCAGAGCTGGGAGAGCCGTGCTGTGGGTGGGGTTGACTCAGGATGCTGGGACTAGTTCAGCTTGAGGCACTGTCTCAAAGTTGAGTCTTGAGTTATTCTGTGTTGTTTATACTGATCGTGTGTCTTGTAAAAAGAAGTGGCTAACTGGTTGTCTTTATTTCCAGGGAATCGGAGGCGATTATTCCAAACATCTTTTTCTTCCTAGTATTGCTCTCTTATGAACGATACCATTCCAAGCAGATTATTGGAATTCCTAAAATCATCCAGCTTTGCGATGGCATCATGGCCAGCGGGAGGAAGGCCGTGACACATGGTAATAGGGCCCGCATTTTCCCCATCTTCAGGGTGCAGTGTTCCTGACTGTGTTAGTCTTCTTGCACCCACATTCAACTCTGAATGCTGGCTTTACACTGCACGGGGCTCTGCGTGTGCGTGCGTGCGTGTGTGCGTGTGAGTGTGTGTGTGTACGCTTCTGCCAATTACAGATGTTTAGGAAAAGACCACATTGTATACTCCTAGATGTTTAAGATATACTTGGGAAGAAAAATAAAAGAAACACCAAGTGAGGTATAGACAAATATAAATGCTGCTGTTTATATGAAATAAAATTATTTATTTTTCAAATTTTTATTTAATCATTGTTTTGTAAGTCTGGGGATCAAATCCAGGGTTTCAGACATGCTAGGCAAGCACTACCACTGAGCTACACCCTACTCCCACCAAATTTTTAAAACCCACCTACCTTAATTCGCATTTTCACTTGTTTTCCAGTGGTATAGAAGGGTATGGTTAGACTTTGATATAGGCTATTTTGCTTCATTATTTCACAACAGGTTAAATCAGGGTCCTGGGGAGTGGCCACCTGCTCAAGCAGTTTCCTCCCAGCCTGTGGGAGGAGGAGGAGGTGGCAGGAGTTAAGAACAGAGTGCAAATCTTAGGCCCTTTAGAACTCACTGTCCAGCATTTCCCTGTTGACCCATCCCTGCTTCTTTGTCAGGAGTCTAAGCTTTTGCTCTTTGCTAGAGATGCATCCTCAGAACTTTACAGACCTCCAGAACTGAGAAAGGGACTGCCCTGCCACACCAGGCAGTGCGCTGCCTCTGCCTCTGCCTCTGCAGCGAGAGCAGAGGAGGAGCAGTACTGAGAGGCAGTGGGGCCTCGATAAGCGCCTGCCTCACCTGATGCTGAAGGCTTAGCATTCAGGCCACTGGGTTTAGTTGTAAATGCAAATGCCGAATACGAGGAACTAGGATTTCCTGGGCTTAGAGGGTCTTTGGACAGATAACTTGGGGCAGCCAATTCCAGTACTGTCTGGTAGGACCCTTGGCTACCCGGAGGAAGATCGGCAAGTGTAACTGGGCGTGCATGTCCTTAGGCGCAAGAGTGAGTCTATGGGTGTCACAGGAGGTCAGAGTGAGTAGTGCTTGTGTGCGTGTACGTGTGTGTGACTGAGGGTCTATGTGTACCAGTTAAAAGTCATTTATTTTATAGTTTTGCTATGTGGTTGTAGCAAACCAATGAAATTAGTTTGACTCCTGTTTTGGACCAATGTAAGATCTAGGGAAAGTGTTTTATCCTAATGAGAATGAGTTCACTTAAAACACTATGTCTAAACTGTTAACTAAACGTGTTATATAGGAAAAGTATCCGTTGTCTTTTTAGGTAAATCCAATAGGTTATACATGAGATCAGGAATGTTGCCAATTTGATTACTTGAAAGTTTTATTATTTTTAAATTGACTCTTGAATTTGAATCACCTTTTATTTTTGGGTACTGGGGATTGAATTCAGGACCTTGGGCTTGTGAAGCAGGTGCCGTGCCACTGAGCTAAATCCTTGGCCCTCAAATCACCTTTTATCAGAAGTGGTGTTACTTTATAGAGGTTCTAGAATTCTTTTTCTTTTTGTTTTTTTTATGGTCCCAGGGCCTCATGTATGTTTGGCAAACTCTCTACCACTGGCTAATTCTGAACCTTATTTATTCATTTTAGCTTTTTGAGGGTCTCACTATGTAGTCCAAGCTGACCTTGAACTCACTATGTAGCCCTGGCTGGCCTTGAACTCATGGCGATCCTTTTGCCTCAGCCTCCCAGGGGCTGGGATTACAGGTGTGCACTTCCATGCCTGGCCTGGTCGTTTTTTGTTTGTTTGGGTTTTTTTTGGTACTGGAGATCGAACTCGGGTCCTTGTGCTTGCACAGCAGGCTGTGAAACCACTGAGCTAAATCCCTGGTCCCCCAGTCGTTTTTTTAAAGAAGTCCTCACAGAGCTCTCAATGGTCAGACGAAAACCCTTGACCTTCCATAGTGGTATCGTGATGATTTCGCAGCACTGAGAAACTTCATTCATCCTTTTATGACAAACAAGTATGGGTTAGGCTTTTCTTTATTTCACAAAAATATTTTGGAGATGTTCAGACCTGTCTAGCAAACATCATTTTCTCATAAGGTCTCATCGGCATGCTCTTGTACCCACAGCAATCCCAGCTCTGCAGCCCATAGTCCATGACCTTTTTGTGTTAAGAGGAACAAATAAAGCTGATGCAGGGAAAGAACTTGAAACTCAGAAGGAGGTGGTGGTGTCGATGCTGCTGAGACTCATCCAGTACCATCAGGTAGGAGGGAAGCACAGTGATGGTTGTGGACACCTCACTGTCCCTGGGAGTGGGGAAGGCGTGTGGCCCAGCCCGTGTGCAGCAAGGGGTGACACTGTACCAGCCCCGGGACCTGGGAGAGCCCAGTGGCAGGAGGTGCAGTGGGCCCATGATGGCGAATGTTTTAGAGCTTTCAGTGGGACAAACTGCACACTCTGGCACACGCGCCCTGGGCTCCCTCCACTCCAGTAGGGTGTGTCTTTAATGCTGGCTCAGCCCAGGCCGCACTGCCACCAGGCTGACACACCTGACACCTTTCCAGTGTGGCAGGGCCCTCTCTTCCAAAGCAAGGGCCAAGAATTAGTTAATGGATAATGTCACCTTGGTAGAATTCTGAAAAATAATAGAAACCTCAAGTCTAAAATAATTTAAAGTCTTTTTTTTTTTAACCTCCTGCTATTTTGACAGGGTCATGGTCTTGTACTCTGAGCTGATTTCTGATTGATTTCCTTAAGGGGGAGCAAGAATTTGAAGACACTTGGAGTCAGCCCAAGCTCATATACCCAGCTTTCTTAATTTCTTAATTGGAAACCTGTGCTGTTGCGTAACCCTCACTTACTTTCCACCTTCTTTTTCACTGTCTTTGAATCTTTATAAAACCATAAGCTTTCCACAGGGAAACAGTACTTTCCTTGTGCACTTATGTTTTGATCAGTCTATATAATACTTAATGTAATACTGTGCTTAATCCCCTGGTTATAGTAACATTTCAAGCACCAAAGAGCATTTTGAGAGTAAGCAGCTGCACTTGGTGAGCCAGTGTTTCCTGTAAACCACCAGGTCACAGCATAGCGAGCTTCGAGGCCACATGTTCTCATCGCAGCCCCTGCTGTCTGTCTTTGCAGCGGTGTGGCTGGGGCCAGGAAAGCTGTGCTTACAGAAGCAGGCAGTAGGCGGCCCTGTGTCACTGTGAAGTGAGGACCGTGCGAAGGACAGTAGGAGACGCCTTCTCATAGAACACAAGCATGGAATTGATGCACACGAAAGTGTGAAGGTGCCTGCAGGACAGTTTAGTCAGGCTGTCTTTGAGTTTCCCCCCGAGTTAATGAGGATGCTTTTCATTTTGTGCCTTTTCTCATATCTTGAAGTCGTGTACATTCCATGGTGAGGACACTGACTGCGAGTCACCCTGAGCAGGAGAAAACAGAGCAACTTGCTAGGTCTCCCCTTGGTGTTCTTGTGACTCCCCCATTCACGTGTTGTGGGGTTAGGACTGTATCTGCTTCCTCTGTCCTCATGGTGGTGGGGGTGCCACCTCTGCTTGGATCTCAGAGCCTTGCCGCTGCCCAGGACCAGTGTGAGAGATGGACGTCCATGTAGGGGCAGTAGGGTGCCCCGGGCCAGGCACCTTCCTCAGTGTGTTCAAACTTGGGTTCTTGCAGGTGCTGGAGATGTTCATCCTCGTCCTGCAGCAGTGCCACAAGGAGAACGAGGACAAGTGGAAACGGCTGTCTCGGCAGGTCGCTGACATCATCCTGCCCATGCTTGCCAAGCAGCAGGTTTGTCACTGCAGTCCTGGCTCATTGTCTTGCAGTAATTAAGACTTATTTCATGGTGGATTGCGATCCTGGTCCAAAGGGCTTGGTGACCAGCGTTTCATCAGATTGTAACGGGTTCTCCTTTGATAGCTCTCTGTGGGGTCCCAGAACGGATGAGTCCCTTTGTTCCTACAGAACCCTCCAGCTTGGGGTTGTCAGGAAGGCAAGGCTCAGTGGGATCACTGTGGTTCTCCGGGTCACACAGCTCGAGAATGCTCGCAGTAGGGTGGTCCCAGTTTCACCCCACAGCTGGATTCTTTCCTGTTTTATTACACTGTGTCCTTCATTCTGGTCATGCAGGTATTTTGTTTGATCTTAACTTTCTTGGTTTTCCCTTATCATTTATAAAGTAACTGAGTAGTTACTTTACTCATCCTTGAGTCAGAATTTCTGCAATCAGAGAACAGACGCGGTTGTTTACGCAGGTGCCTGGCAGGAAGTGGTCTGTCGGGCTGCTTCAGGTAGAGCCAGGGTGCCCCTGGTCCAGGACTACATGGACCTTAGATGTCTCTGCACCCCAGTAGCAGCACCTTTGTACCAGGGAGGGTGGCAGGGCCTGCTGCAGATGTGTGTGTGTCCTCCATTGTCATCCACACCACGCGGGTGCTCTGGGTAGCACAGTGGCCACAGTTCTTGGCACGTGGTAAACACTGGCAGGCAGGCAGGCTGTGACTGTCTCCATGAGTTTGCCCCTTTCTGGTTTCCGGAGACCACCTGGACCATGTCATATGTCTTGGCTTCTGGTGAGATTGGCAAACAGCATTTTTCAGTGGTCAGGGACTGTATACCTACAGATGGAGGATGGATCTGTAGGATAGGAGGGATGGAATGGGAGCTTGCTTCCTTGCTTATTTGTTTAGTTAGTTGGTTTGTTTTTAGACAGGGTGTCACTTACGTAGTTTAGACTGGCCTCGAACTTGCAGCAATTCTCAGCTTCCCAAATCCTGGGAATATGGGGATGCACCACCATGCTGGGTGGGAGCTTTTTTGTATGCACAGTTTGCAGAAGGGTGGAGATTAAAGGCCTGAATGCATAGTAAATGCTCCGCTTAACTTGTGCCACTGGGAAAATTGTGTGATAAATCACGAAGCTCTAAGCGTGATACCTGCCAGGTGGGTCAGTGTAGTGTGGGTTACATTCCAGTGTAGTGGTGGCATGTCGCAGGTACAGCAGTAGGTACATCAGCCATCAAAGCAGACTGAAAAGCAGATTGAAGAGCTGCCTCAGAGTGAACATTTTATTGGAAGGAGGGTGAGGGGCAGATAACAACAGTACATTAGAGAAGTATAGAAAATGTCAGGTGGTGGTAGGCTTTCTGCAGAAAAACTAAGGAGCGGAGATGAGGGTAGCGTTGGGGTCGAGGAGGCATTTTCATTTGGTGACAGGAAAAAGCCTTGCCTAATAGGTGACATTAAGTAAGCACGAAGGAAGGTGAGGGCTGATTCTTGCAGACTGTGGTGCAGAGGCCGTCTTAGGATGTGGGGCCAGCCTGATGGGGCAGCCACAGGGAAAGGGCAGGGTGGGGCCAGCATCATGCATGTGGGAGAGACATGGTGTGGTTGGGGTTTTATTCTCAAGCTGAGAAGAGCCTCCAGAAGGAGGTGAGCAGGGAGGTCCCTGGAGCCCCATGGTGGAGTGGAGCGGCCATTTGTGGCTCTATGAAAGGAGGACCAGCGATGTATAATAGATAAGGTGAAGTAGGAAGAAAAGGTCCAACGGGGAAGGGGAAGGGGAAGGAAACAAAATGAGAAAAGATAAAAACGGAGACAAAGTCCTTGTAAATAGGGAGAGGTGGAGGGGTTGAAGGGAGGGCAGGGGAAGGGGGAAAAATAAGAACCAGGATACATCATGGAAAGGTACAAGTACCCCATGATGAATGCCCTCATATTGTATACCTAAAATGTACCAATAAACTGAATGAATAAAACAGAAAGTAGGACCAGCAAGGTTTGCTGGGGGCTCAGCTGTGGGACCTGAGGGGGAGAGACATCACAGGTGGTGTTGGTAATGGCAAAGTGGCCATGGAAGAGCGGGGAGAAGGTCGGAGCTGGGTCTGGATATGTTCATTGGCACCTCTTGGTGGGTACTGTGGGGTGACGCTGGCATTTGGATGCAGGGCTGGAGCTGAAGAGAGACTAGCTGAGGTTACAGTAGACCAAGCCCAGCTGCAGATGAGAAGCCCCAGGCCCCAGGTCCAAAGCCTCTATGTGGCAGGGGCAAAATGCCTGACACTCGCAACTTCAAGTAGAGACTTATTTTGGCTCACAGTTTCACTGTGTTGAGTCCATGGTCAGCTTGCTCTAAAGCAGATAGGACCTGGCAGAAAACAGCTGCTCACCTCATGACAGCTGGGAAGGCAAGAAGGGAGGAGCCAGGAACAAGAACACACCCTTCCAGGTCCCACACCTGGTGACCACCTCCAACCAGGCCCCACCTTGAGACATGAGGTTTTTGAGGGATGTTTTAGATCTGAACCTCTAAGTTAGAGATCTAAGCCTCTCGTAGTCCACTCATAGGTCAGGAAGGTGTGGAGGAACCTGTGAAGGGGCTTGGCAAGGACAGCCAGTGCCAGGCCAGGAAACCACGCAGCTGTGGGGCTCCCAGAGCTGTGTTTGAGACAGGCATTTCCAGCCAGATGTGGCGGCACACACTCATGATCGCAGCACTCGAGGCTGAGGCAAGAGGATCAGGAGTTCCAGCTCCACCTGTGGCTGAGTTTGGGTGTACCATGAGCTAAATAACAAGTCCCTGTCTCAATAAACCAAAAGAAAGAAAGTAAAGAAAAAAGAAAGGTGTTTCTGGGCTGGAGATTTAGCTCAGTGGTTTCGCTGCCTGCTGTGCAAGCGCAAGGACCCGAGTTCGATCCCCAGTACCAAATAAAAAAAAGAAGGGTGTTTCTGTTAGTCTTGGGATGCACATCTGTAATCCTAGCTACTCAGGAAGCTGAGGCAGGAAGATCGTAAGTTCAAGCCCAGATGAGGCTACTTACAGAGACTGTCTCAAGTAAAATTCAAAAAATGGCTTGGAGGGCCAGGCATTTAGCTCAGTAGTTCTGGTGCCTGCCTTGCAAGCGCAGGGTCCTGAGTTCAATCCCTGGTACCCCCAAAAAAGAAAAAAAAATGGCTTGGAGTATAGGTTGGGGTAGAGCACTTGCTTAGCACGTGAGGCCCTGGGTTCAGTATCAAGCACCACACACAAACACAAGGTGTTTCATGGAGGAAAACATCTCGCAGGTACTGTGTCCACTATACTGAGTGCTCAGGGGAGCAGTTTCATGAGAAGTAGACAGGGTTGTGTTGTGACCAGATTGTGGTCTGAAAGGACCGGAAGTGAGAACAGAGAGGTGATGCAGTAGCCAGAGAGGAAAAGGGTAAATGGGGTTACACTGACAGAAGCAAGGAGCCGTGCAGATAAGCGAGAATCACTGTGCAGGACGGACAGCTGCCGTCAGTCTCTGCTGGCAGGCACAGTGTCAGGACGGGCTGGGTGAGTGGGGGCGGAGGTGGGGGACACTTGCATAGGTCCAGGCTGCAGTCTGCACGGTGTCCTTATCTTATGGTACAGCTCAGTGCTGTGGAGCTGTTACCAGGACGTACACAAGTCAGCAGGGGAATAATTGAGTATGTAAATTTAGTGGGAATATTTTGTATTCATTAAAAGTAATGTTAGAGGGCCAGGGATTTAGCTCAGTGGTTCTGCCCCCTGCCTCACAAGCGCAAGGTCCCGAGTTCGATCCCCAGTACCAAAAAAAAGAAGATAACATTAGAATGCTGGGGATTTAACTCAGCAGCACAGTGCCTTCCTGGCAAGTGTGAGGTCCTGAGTTCAATCCCTGGTATAAAAAGAAATGTAATGTTAGAGTTTAAACCAGTTGCCTTGTGTATCAGCCACTTTTCCCATTGCTGGGACAAGATAGCTGATGCTACAGTTGAAAGGAGGAGAGGTTCATCTTGGCTCATGATTCAGTTTGTAGTCGGCTGGCTCCTAGGCAGAAGTAGCAGAGCAGAGGGGCATTGTGAGGAGGTGTTGAGCCCACGGCAGCCAGGAGGCAGTGTGGGGAGCAGCTGAGGACAAGAAAACATCCTTCCTTCCAGCCCACCTCTTGGGACCAGGCCCCAGCTCTCAGCAGCAGCTGAGCTACAAACTGAACGGTGACCCTATCCATCCGTGAGCATGGTGCCCCGCGATGCACCCACTCCAGCCACACTTAGCACCATGGGAGCTCACAGCATTCTGAAGCAAGAAAAGCAGATATGCTCCTGATGAACTTTCTTAGGACAGAACAAGAACCTCCCTACCTGTGTGTGGGTGGGTGGTTTAGGAACACGAGGAAAGGAAATAGATCCATATACCTGTTTGTTACTAACGGGCAGAGTGGTGGTCAGGTGCAGGTGCAGCAACAACAGGAAGAAGCGGCATGTGTCATGGCCCACGCACACACATAGGAAAAGATCCATGAAATCTGGGTCCCACAGTGCACAGTGACTGTGTCAGAGTGGCCACTTCAGATAATTCTTTTCATAGTTTCGTATATTTAAATCTTTCACCAAAAACAAGTATTATTTGGATGAAAATCTAAGCAAAAAGATTTCCATCATGGTGGAAAAAAAAATAGCTGCTAGCATGCTGTCCGGATAGGCTGCTTCTTTCACTGCTGAACTCAGAAGGCCTTCAGTGTGCCGGCCAGTGCTAGTGGTACCCGTGATCTTGTCCCTGGGTAAGTGGGGCTGGCGTTTCCAGGGCAGGCTCACCTGGGAATATCTGTGATGTTCAATCCCACAGATGCATATCGACTCGCACGAAGCCCTTGGAGTGTTAAACACTTTGTTTGAGATTCTGGCCCCTTCCTCCCTCCGCCCGGTGGACATGCTTTTGCGCAGTATGTTCGTCACTCCAAGCACGATGGTGAGTCTCTTCAGAGCTGCTATGGAGGTTGTGGCAGAGGATTCACATTTGCTGCCTTATATCAGGACCACACCAGGAGAAGCAGTGGTATAGGGATTTATTGGCAGAATGGTCAAATTGGGGTGATTTTTCTTTTATATAATTGGCAATTGTACCAGGCTTGGTGGCACACGCCTATAATTCCAGAACTTGGCAGGCTGAAGCAGGAGGATTGCTGTGAGTTCCAGGCCAGCCTGAACTAAAAAAAAAACCCAACCAAGACATATTATGTAAAGGTACAAATTTCCAATGATGAATGTCATTATATTGTATATCTAAAATGTACCAATAAAATTAATTTTTAAAAAGCCAACAAACAAAAAATAAAAATTTTTTCAAAATTAGCAATTGGGAAAAATTTAAATTTAAATTTTTTTCTTTCTGTAGCTGTAACTTACTTATTTTGTCTCCTTCAGGCCTCAGTGAGCACTGTTCAGCTGTGGATATCTGGAATTCTAGCCATCCTGAGGGTTCTCATTTCCCAGTCAACTGAAGATATTGTTCTCTCTCGCATTCAGGAGCTCTGCTTCTCTCCATATTTAATTTCCTGTTCAGTGATTAACAGGTTGAGAGATGGGGACAGTAATTCAGCATCAGAAGAACACAGTGAAGGGAAACAATCGAAGAATTCGCCAGAAGAAACATTGTCAAGGTACGCTGCATATCTAAACCTGCAGTCGGTGTCCTTGGGAAGTTGCGTGGTGTCTGGTGATCAGCACGTGTGGAATAACTGCTGGTCTGGCTGCAGCTCTGGGCGAGCCGAGGAAATGTGTGTTGCTGTTTTAGTCCAGCTCGCGTTTCCTGGGGCCCTTGCTCTGTGCCTCTCTTAAGGCTCTGTCACATTCTGTCTCATCTTCATTCACAATTTGACAAAGCGACTCACCGTGTGCTGGGCAGCACATAGTCTGCTCTATGCAGGCAGCAAGGCTGTGCATTGCCTGTAGAGAAGTTTAGGGTCCTGAGAGTGCGCTAAAAGTTGTGTTTATGCTTATCATGTGGTGATGCGCTCTGCGCCGTCGGTGACCAAGAGCTCCCCTTGTCAAGGATGGCGCCTACTGCGTACCTGCAGTATCAGCCTGTCTTCCCTCCCCTCCTTGACCACACGCCTTCCTGGGGCTGTGAGCAGGATTCAGGTCTTGGAAATGCTGCTATGTGGACAAGTATCTGTCTCCCACCGGAGCTCCTCTAAGTTAGAGCTACTTCTCCGAGTTGCTGCTTCCACCCTGGCCTTTGGTTGGCTGCCCCTGGTTGCCATGAGGGGAACCACACAGGGTTGCTAGGGGATGGACTGGGAGCCTGCTCAGCACCCGTGTGGGCAGGTTCCCCGGCAGCCGGTGGCCCTCTGCGCTTCAGCTGAAGCAAGTTGCTGAAGCCAGTGGTGCGCTCAGTGCCACAGTGGATGACCTGCTGCTCAGTGTGCTTTGCCTGTGTCTCTGCTTTTCCTGGCTTACTGTTAATGTTCCATGTATACTGGGCACGCGTGCTCCATAGTAGTCACCTGACTCACTCATCCTCCTCGCTTTCTTGGAAGGTTTCTGTTACAACTGGTTGGGATCCTGTTAGAGAACATTGTTACAAAGCAGCTGAAAGTGGAAATGACTGAACAGCAGCACACTTTCTACTGCCAAGAGCTGGGCACTCTGCTCATGTGCCTCATCCACATCTTCAAGTCGGGTAGGTGGGTCACGTGGACCAGCATTCGCGGTGTCCCTGTCCTGCACTGTGCGCGGAGGGCAGAAGCTGTGCTTCACATGCTTTGCCGTTGGGCAGTGTCTTGTGGTAAGAAGAGGAAATGCCCAGCAGATCACTCCTGGGTGGATTCCCCAGAAGAATGGAAAGCGGGGTGGTTGGAAGATATCACTGCTGGTGTTCATAGCAGCATTCATTGTTCACAGTAGCCCACATGGGGAAGCAGCTCAGGTGTTCATCAGTGGGCTAATGGATAAGTAAAACCTTGCATAGGGCCAGAGATTTACCTCAGTGGTGCTGCTGCCTCCCAAGCACAAGGTCCCAAGTTCAATCCCCGATACCAAAAACAAACAAAAACCAAAAAACCTTGCATATATGTAAAATGGGATACAGTAAAACCTTGGTTTGTGAGCATAATTTGTTCCAGAAACATGCTTGTAATCCAAAGCACTTGTATATCAACGTGAATTGCACCGTAAGAAATAATGGAAGCTCAGATGATTCATTCCACAACCCAAAAATATTCATATGAAAGTAATTACTATACTGTAATATAATGCAAAATAATAAAATACAAAATTTTAAACAAAATAAATTGACCTGCACTTACTTTTGAAAACCTTCATGGCTGGTGTGAGGGAGACGAGAGAGGAGGGTTATTGTGTAGTGACTATCACTAGCAGAGTCAGTCACTGCTATTGATTGGCTCAGTGGAGTCCTTTTCTTTTCGTCTTAGATAGGGAACCTATCCATTGACGACTTGCTTTTGCCTCTTTTTGAGGATTTCACAGAAATACGATCATCATTGTTGTTAAACAGATTCATCACTCACACTACCACAGCCTTATTTGGTGGTACTTTTCTACACAATTTTGGACAGTTGTGAGAGATTCCTCTGCCTTTTTCTCCTCTGCAGAAAAGATCTCTTCCATAATCTCTTGCTGTTGGGAGATGATCATCACAATCTTGCGGAAGGAGAGAGGGAGAGAGGGAGAAAACCACTGGCTCAGTTGTGATAATGTGATGTTCTACTTACATTGCAAGACATTGTTTGTTTATCAAGTTAAAATTTATGAGAATTGTTTGCTCTTATTGCAGAACATTTGGAGAACAAGTTACTCGCAGTCCAAGATTTTACTGTATTTTTCAGTCTGAAAAAGGAAGGAAATTTTTTTTTTTTGATACCAAGGATCGAACTCAGGACCTTGCGCATTCGAGGCAGGCCTGGAACCACTGAGCTAAATCCCTGGCCCTGGGAAGGAAATTTTAACATAGGCTGCAATATGGATGAGTCTTAAACTTAAAATAAGCTGGACACAAAAGGACAAATACTGTATGACTCCACTTGCATAAAACAGAGTACTCAGAATCATTATATTAGCCATCTTTCCACCCCGGGACAAAATTCCTGGCATCCGCAACTTAAAGGAGAGGCTTAGTTTGGCTCTTGGTTTCAGGGAGTTCAGTCCATGGTTGGGTCCAAGGCAGAAATGGCATGGTGAAAGGACACAGACAAGAAAAGTTGCTCAACCCATGAAGCAGAGAGAGAAAAGAGAAGTGGAGGGGGCGGTGGGGAGGATACACCCTTCCAGGTCACCCCAGCGACTACTTCCAACCAGACCCCATCTCCTAACAGCACATTCTGCTGGATGAATCCACTGATGAGTATAGTACCACCATGATCCAGTCACCTTCCAGAGCCCCCTTCTGAGCACAGGAGATGTGTAGGGGACATTTTAGATCTAAACCATAATAATTGTAGAGGTAGAAAGAATGGTGGTTGCCAGGGGTCAGAGAGAGGGCAGATGGAGAGTTGTTTAATGGGTGCTGAGGTTTAGTTTTACAGAAGTAAAGAATGATAGAGATGGGTGGTGGTAATGGTTGCACAAATTTATGAATGTATTTTCTGCCAGTACTGTATCCTTAAAAGTGGTTAAGACCAAAATGTGACGTGTTTCTCCACCGTCGACTGCAGGGCAGCTGGCTGGCTCAGGTGCACTGCGCCTGCGCTTCACCTGCAGTCAGCGTGTGGTTTCCACGTCCCACTCTGCTCTCCGTGTTGGCTTTGCTCCCTGCGAGGCTCCTTTCCCGCGGCAGGAGGAGCCCCCTAATGGCTCTGGTCTTAGCCTGAAGTTCGGAGTGTTACTGGCCTGACCTGTGTGGCAGGTAGTGGCTGTGAGCCCCAGTGTCCTAGCCAGCCTGGGCCAGAGAGAGGTTGAGTAGCCTTTGTTTGAGGAGGAGGATGGTTACTTTCCAGGAGAATGAAGAGGAGCAGCTAGACTAACTGATGGTCTGGGTCAGGTGTAAAAGCCTCTCAGTTTCAGTTTGGGAGGTAACTTCCTCCACAGCCAATCCACAAAACGAGAGAGACATGGCAGGACACATCTGCAGTCAGAAGCCCCTCTCTGTGGTTGAGTTTTTACACACAGTTCACGCACACGCCTTTAGAGTGAAAACTAGTCACCATTGCCAGCCCTCCTTCATCCAGTGAGGCTTACTGGATGGCAGCCCTCGGGCACTGGGGTCAGGAGCAATTCCGCCCTTGACAGTGATAGAGAAGAGAGCTGGGGAGGTGGGCAGGGTTTGAGATCGGGTTGAAATAAATCATCTTGTAGTTTTTGTTTTTTGTTTGGTACGAGGGATCAAACTCAGGTCCTTGCGCTTGTGCAGCAGGCAGTGAAACCACTGAGCTAAATCCCCGGCCCCTTCATCTTGTAGTTTCATAAAAATAGAGTACACTTAGCGTGTAAAGTTGGTAATTTGTGTTAAGCATTGCTTAAACAAAGGCAGTTTATTTTACTCGTGCACCAAAAATTGAGACCCTTAAAAAACCCAAAAACCCCCGAGACCTTTATAGTTGTTCATTGCAGTTTATAGTTCTCACAAGAGGGCCTAGTCTGAGGAGTAGCCTTGACCTCTGTTTATCTGCTGCCCTTCTTGTGGTGGCAGGAGAAATTTATCCCAGAGTTATTTGCCTATTTCAGATTGAAGCCAACATCAACGCAACAACCAAGAAAGATACCTGTCCTCCAGTTTACAAAATTGGGGCCAATCAGTATCCCTCTCTTGTTCCAAGAGGGACCAGTTTAGAGCCAGGTGGGCAGCTGGGGGTATGGAGAGGAAGTTCAGTCAGCCTCTGGATCCACAGTTATACATTCCCAGGTTCCACCAACTACCTTGGAAAATACTTGCAGGAAAGATTTGTAGCAAGGTGTGGTGGCCCATGCCTGTAATCCCAGCTGCTTGGGAGACTGACGCAGGAGGATCACAAGTTCAAGCCCGGGTAGGGCAACTTAGTGAGACCCTGTTTCAAAAATAAAAAGAGCTAGGGATATAGCTTAGCACTCCCTGGATTTAGTCACCAGCATTGCAAGAAAAACAAACTAAACTGGTTTGAGCATGTGCAGACCCTTTCTTGCCACTGTTCTCTAAGTAATGCAGTGTAACACCTGTCTACACAGTGTTTATGTTGTCTTGTGTGTCGAAAGCGATCCAGAGGTGAGTTAAAACATCCCGAGGGATGCAGTCTTGCTGAGTTCTCTGTGCAGGACTCGAGTGTGCAGGTGATGGCCGTGGTGGCTGGGGAGTGTCCTAGAAGCTGTCTGAGTTGAGGAAGACAGTGGGAGGGGATGAGCATTTGCTTTCTGGGCTGACTATTCGATGAGTGCAGTGTCTGTTTCTGCTCAGGAAAGGGAGAGTTAATTCTCTGCGTGCCAGGGATTTGAACGTGGAAGCAGAGGAAAGGGCTGCCTGTGCATCTTCGTGTAAAGTCTTCTCATAGCTAGCTGGGGTCGGGCTCAGACAAGCACAGGGCCTCTCCCCACAGTCAGCTCTGCTTTGTGTGCTTCTAGGGATGTTCCGGAGAGTCACCGCGGCTGCCACCAGACTCTTCACCAACGATGGCTGTGAGGGCAGCTTCTACACGCTGGAGAGCCTGAATGAGCGCGTGCGCTCCATGGCGCCCACACACCCAGCCCTGGTGCTGCTGTGGTGCCAGATCCTGCTGCTCGCCAACCACACCGACCACCACTGGTGGGCAGAGGTGCAGCAGACACCCAGGTAGGTGCATGCCCTGAGACGCCGAGTAGCCTGAGGTTGGGCTCCTGTGGGGACGTTTCCATCTTCATTTTTCATGGGCCTTTGTAAGCTTTTGGCTGCATATTAATCTTCCTTGGGCCCTATATTGTGAGGAGAGATGTGTCCAAGAACAAGCTTTCAGCATCACAGCCCCTGCTTCCCTGTGGCTTTCTTGGGCAAGCTCTTTGACACTGTTCCATCTGTGGGTCCCGCGTTGGGCTGTGCCCCTCCTGCTAGGCTCTAGCATGCAAATTGGTCCCACAGCCAGACATGTTGCAATGTCTTAACTTCATTAGGAGTTAAATGTGGTTCTGGTTATTCTTAGGTAATGAAGTAATTATTTAGCAAATTTCAAAACGTTTTGGAAATGCTGTAGTTTTTCTAATTCAACAGACTTCCTAAGTTTCTGGTTGTGGGTGGCCCTTTTGTAAAGCGTTTCCAGGTTTGAGCTCAGCGTCCAGGTGCTCACTTGGTCCGATGTCAGAATGCATTAAGAAATGAAAGCCGTGAGCCTGCAGGGTTGGGGGTACAGGGTTTGGGTAGGGAGATGGTCCCAAAGGAAGAGAGTAGTGGGCCAGCTCCTCTGCTGGGTGCTAGAGCCCCTGCAGGGAGGCCCAGTTGCTCCTACTCTGTGCTCCATGCCGTGGGGTCTACAGGAAAAAGAAGCAGAGCTTCCTGCTCCTTGCGCTGACCACTCCGCCCAGGAGACAAACCTGAGGCAGCATTTGCCATGCTCAGAGCATGTCCTGTGCCTGTCCTTGTGACCGAGCAGGGAGACGGGAAGCCAGTGTCTCCTGGTTCTGTGTGTGACTCAGCCGCAGAACTGACGCCAATAAGGCCAGTGAGTTGGCAGCTCACTGGGGCCTGGGAATCTGCATCTCCCCAAGCTGGTGTGCTGGCCCGGAAACCACACTGAGTAGCAGGAGTGCCTCAGCATCACAGGACCAGTGCTGTCCTCTGTCCCCACTGCCAGGCCTGATGACTGAGCATTTTAGGAGCTTGTGTTTTTAACCAGCTTCCAAGACTGTCCAGTGAACACCCAAGTGTGAGTTGTGCTGCAGGACATCAGGGCAGAACCTATCACTGAGGGTGGAGCAGGTTCAGGGAGCAGGAGAAGGCCGAGTCCCAGACAGCCAGCTCTGCCCCTCCCCGATCACGCACAGAGGTTAGTGAGGCCAGAAGCCGCCCTGAAAGCGGGGCACAGGGGTGCACACCTGTAATTCTAGTACTCTGGAAGGCAGTGGCAGGAGAATTGAATGTTCAAGCCCAGCCTGGGTGACTTCGTGAGATCTGTCTCCAAATAAAAAACCTTTAAAAGGGGCTGGGGATGTACCAAGTTGCCCACTGGCTTCCTTGAGTCTTCAGTGTCCTGGAGAACAGAATTGTTGTTGCATTGGACAAGAAGCAACAGGGATAGGACAGGCACGTGAGGGACTCACACTTTTGTCCTGGGTCTGGGGTAACGTACCAAAAGGGCGTTAGGGGGCAGTTGGAAATTTGTGTGTGAGCGCTGTAAACTGTTGTCTTGCAGCTGAGGAATTCCGGGTGAAGTGTCCTGAATGACAGGTTACTCATGTCACACATGTGTTGGTGTGGAGTAGTGTGTGCAATGTGTAGGGTTCTGTGTGCATGTAGCATGTGTAAAGTTTGTGTGTGTGCCTCCTTATCTAGAGTGTGCTGTTGAACACAAAGGTGACAAATGTGGGTGGCTGAGGATTGAATTATTCCTTCACTGTCCTTGTTGGCCTGTGTTTGCAGTGTGAATGTGAAGAGGCCTCTGGGACGGCCCTGTGCGCAGCTCTGGAAGGCTCTGTGGAGCAGGTGGAGCTATTGGGAGTGGGCGGGAGGGACGGTTTCTGATGATGGGAGCGTCACAGATGAGTGTAGAGAAGAGGGTCGCCTTGGGTTGGTGATCTAAAGATACTGGCAGCATTGTAGTTGTTAACTTACTGCCAGTGTTTCAGAGTTGAATTGCCCTTTCGTGATTTTGCCCATATGTTACTAATGGTAGGAAAGCCTTTCTCTCAGTTGCTGGCTCAGACCCCATCCTCAGGCCCTGCCAGGCTGCTCTGCGCTGGGTTGGCCTTGGGATCTGCCCTTACCCAGCCCTCGCCCTCTTCAGTGACCAGGGTCAGGGCCGCACCTGGGCATTTTATTTGTGTGAAGATTTTACTAATGACTGTCTCGCCTGGGATTTAGCTCAGTGGTTTTGCCGCCTGCTGCGCAAGCGCAAGGACCCAAGTTCAATTCCTGGTACCAAAAAAAAAAAAATCAACTTTGTCGAGGTCTGATTAATGTTCAATAAAATACTAATGACTGTCTCTTCTACTAGATTATGAACCCCAAGGAGGTGGGACCTGTATCTGGTTTAGCACACGTGCACAAGTACATGCACTTACATGCACGCGTGCGCACACAAGTAGTCCCAGCAGTAACTTGAATTAGTGATTTAATTACTTTGGCAGTGGAAACAATACTAATATACTGGTAAAGACCTTCTTCTACATGTAGATTAACACTGTGAAGTGTTGTTCTCAGGCAGTGATAAACCTATGGCATGTGTGCCCAACAAGGTGTTTGTTAGCATTGAAGGCTCTAAAAGGTTCGGCATCACTGTTCTAAGGTCTCTGTTCGTTTCAGCTTTCCAGGAAGTTAATAACATACCCAGTGTCCCAAGTTAATACACAACACATACCTAGCCCTCCTCACTCTTCTGTTTTACCTTTTGGGCAGTCCAGCTCCCAAGAGGGCAGCAGGCAGGTCTCAGGCCATGCTTGGGTGGTAGTATGGCTCCAGAAGTCCCACTCAGTCTCTGCTCTCTCATCCTCCTTTTCTGGACTCACCATGGATTTATGATTTGCTTTAATCTGTCTCAGTGTTGGGTGGGCTATAAGGGTCCTGCACCTGTGGTGCCATGGGCCACATATTGATCACTTCCCAGCTCATCCCCGTCTGAGTGCTACAGATGTGGTCAGCCTGGACTCGGGGTGTTCATTTGCCACAGCAGCTGTCCTGAGGTTGGGGGTGGGGATTGTACTGCTACACTGGGGCTAAATTTGAATGGATGCTGGACCTCTTAGTATCTGCTGCAGACACCCCCTGCTGTCCTGCAGAGGCTCAGTGCTCTGTAGCTGGGAGCGTGAATCACATGGGCAACAGAAAAGGCAGGTTTTGTGTTTGGCAGCTTTTTAATTGACATGATTTCGAGGAAAATGCACTTTTGTACCAACTGTACTCAGGTAATGGGCAGTGCCATCATTTCAAGCAGTTCCTTCTTAACCGTTGTGGTCTCTGCTTTCCCAGCTCCACTGCTGGATTCTGTAGAAAGAGAATCTTACAGGGTGTGGCCTTTTTGCTGGATTTTGCCATTCAGCTGCAAAGTCCTCTGTGTGCCTTAGTTTTTCTGTTGCTTTGTTGGAGCCCAGGAACAGATACCTGAACGCCTGTTACACACACGCCATTCTGCCGTGGCAAGGTCGAGAGTAAGACAAGCAAGACACGCTGTCCCGTGCCAGTCACACCCTCAGTGCCTCTGTCACCTCCGTAGGAGACACAGTCTGTCGTGCACGAAGTCACTCAGCCCCCAGGTGTCCAGCGAGGAGGAGGAGGAGGACTCTGACTCAGCCGCTCAACTGGGAATGTGCAATAGAGAGATCGTGCGAAGAGGGGCCCTCATTCTCTTCTGTGATTATGTTGTAAGTTTGCAGACGCCAAAATGGAGAGGGGAGGCGGGCCACATGTGGACAGTGCTGTGTGGACCCTCTGGAGACCATGTTGCCCACTGTCCCATCAAAACTGAGCCGGGGATTTGGCTCAGTGGTGCTGCCACCTGCTTTCAAGCGCAAGGGCCTGAGTTCTATCCCTGGTACCAAAAAAACAAAAAATTGAAAAGTGCGGGGTAGCATTTAGTCCACTGTGATGTGTGATTAAAGGCAAGTGTGACCCTCCTCTTCCAGGTTTCCTGGGGCTCTTTGGGGCTCCATGTCACTGTCACTTGGGCAGCAAATGCCCCAGAACTGCTCTACTTTTGGTTGAGGGCAGCACTTGAAGGGTACATAATTTCAAAAACAAGCATAGTGTGTTGAGCATAGTGGGGTTCTGATTTAAATTTGTTTTCAAAAAGTGTTATTCCTTGTTAACATTTTAAAATGGATTCTTGTTTGAATGCCATTTTTAAAAACTTGCTTCTGTGGTGTTTTTAATCACAAAACTACCATCACATGCTAATTAAAAAAAAAAATAAAACAAGTAAACAGAAGAAAATAAAATGTTCTGTAACTAGTTTCAAAGATAACTGGCTGTTGAGTTTGCTTGGACTTAATGCTTTGTCCATGCCTGTGTCAGAGAGCACACGTCTCTCTGTTGTAAACTTGGCTTGTTGTCCCATAGCAAACTGTTAGACAGAAGGGGGGCTGACTTCAACTAAATGTGATCATGGAGATCTTCCATGGTGACAGCAGTTTACTAACTTCATGTTTTGCTTCACATTTGAAGCATTTTTTCTGTCTTGTTTCACTTTAGAGAATTGACTATATAATACTTTTGTAGAAATATAAGAAAAAGAGATAGCTTCATAAATTAATAGTCAAGTAATCCTAGATGAAAAATATTAATCATTAAGTGGATATCAAGAAATTGATCTCATTTGGGTGTCTGCCTAGGAGGTTTAGAATTAAGATAAAAAGGCTACACATGTTTAAAAATAGACATTACATATCTCCTTAAGTAAAATTTGTTTCATTTAATGTGCGAGGGGCTCCATCCATCTTTTGGATTCAAGAGTTCTGTGAAAACTGTCCCAGTTACAGTGGACTTTTTCCCCACTGAACTGTCACAGAGTGGCCAGGCTAGAGCCTGGGAGGTGCAACAGTTGCTGTGACAGGAAGTGCCCCTTGTTCCTGTGCATACTGGTGGTGCTTCAGGCCTGTCAGTCAGCTCCGGGACAATTACCTGCTCCAGCCGCCCAGGGGTCATGCCTGCTCTGTGGGCAGGCCACTCCGTGACTGCTCTGTAGAACAGAACTCGTGTTCTTCTGGTCCTTTGACCTTTGGCCATTTACCTAGTCGCAGCCTCTGCCGCAGCTTGTGTTTCAAGGTGATGGGTACTATTAATTGTGCTTTTGTGCCTCTTCAGTGCCTCCTCCTCCCTACCCTCTCTGCTTTCTCTGTGGGATTACATCATGCTTGACAATGGATTGCATTGCATCTTTTCCAGTGTCAGAACCTCCATGACTCCGAGCACCTAACATGGCTCATTGTGAACCACATTCAAGATCTGATCAGTCTTTGCCATGAGCCTCCAGTGCAGGACTTCATCAGTGCCGTCCATCGGAATTCTGCCGCCAGTGGCCTTTTCATCCAAGCAATTCAGTCTCGTTGTGAAAATCTTTCCACTGTAAGTCTTCATTCTGCTGACTCTCACCAGTCGGCTTCCTGTGTCTTAAAAATGAAGTCCTGGGACTTTCTTTTTGTTGTTGTTGTTGTTTTTTTGGTACTGGGGATTGAACTCGGGTCCTTGCGCTTGCGAGGCAGGTGACGGAACCACTGAGCTAAATCCCCGGCAAGTCTTGGGACTTTCTAAGTGCTGGTTTCCAGTTGCCCAAGTACTCAGCTCCAGGGCTGGGGATTTAGCTCAGTGGTTCTGCCATCTGCCTTGCAAGAGGAAGGTCCCGAGTTTGATCCCCAGTACCAAAAAAAAAAGAAAGAAAAAGATAACTAAGAAGTCAACCAAGTACTCAGCTCCCATCTTTCTTCTCTGAATGCTAGCCAACCACTCTGAAGAAGACGCTGCAGTGCTTGGAAGGCATCCACCTCAGCCAGTCGGGCACCGTGCTCACACTGTATGTGGACAGGCTCCTGGGCACCCCTTTCCGAGCACTGGCTCGAAGGGTAGACACCCTGGCCTGTCGCCGGGTAGAAATGCTGCTGGCTGCAAACTTACAGGTATAGCAGAAACATTGGTCCTGTTTTACATCAAAGCTGAGCAGGGCGGGCAGATCGTTTGTCTGGTTTTTCTTCTGCATAGGCTCAGTCTCACTGTGGCCCCTGATAGGAATGTGAGGGCCTTGTACAAATGTGTCATTCATTCTGTGTATGTCTGATCCAGCTTCTAGTCTGCCTGTGCTCCCATAAGCTGCACACACTAGCCTGTCCTTTCTAAGTGATATCCTTTCTTAGTTACCTTACATGCCTCAAACCCTCTGATGTGTTCTTACCTATTTAGAGCAGCACAGCCCAGTTGCCAGCAGAAGAACTGAACAGAATCCAGGAACATCTTCAGAGCAGTGGGCTTGCGCAGAGGTAATGGTGTGCCATGGTGGTGTTGTCCTTCAGATTGCCCAGGACATAAAGACTTAGACTTGTATGAGGGCAGATTGGCAGGCTGAGAAATAGGCCTGCTTTGTAGGTGGGTTTCCTGCAGAAATGCCACCTTAGAAAGGCTTCCCGCATAAAATAAAGAACGCCTGGCGGCCTCACATCTGCTGCAGGTGTGGAGGACGCCTGCGCCCTCCTGGCTGCCCGGGGCTTGTAGATGCTGCTGTTGGCTCTGTCACTGCCCTGGGAACAAGTGGGAATCTGAGCTGTCAGCTTTATTGTAGCAAAACCAAAACACATCCCAATTTCTCGATAAGAGTGATGAATCTAAAAGCATTATCCAATTCTTGGCATGCAAGGATCATTTCTACATCTTGTTAAAGTTGTGTCTCTTCATAGCTGTTCAGGCATCTAATTCTGTTTGAATGTCTTTGCGAAGCCTTTATCAGAAATGCTTGCATATGTAATGTGGACATATTTCCATGACTGTAAAATAAAGTAAGAGCATCTTTTGTCCTTCCCTCCACTGCCTGGAGGAAAGCGTGGGTGTGAGAGAATGCTTCTGCCATGAAGGCCAAGATTATAAATGCCCTGGGCCAGATGAGGGGGTCCTTTTATGAAATGACCTTTCATAATGATATAAATTGTGTTCTTTTGAGAGAATGAATAGTTTGTGCACTTGGGTCTTAAAGAGATGATGTCTTTTTCCTATACAATATTAAGAATTCCTGCATTAGCCAGTATACCTTGTATTGCCTATTGCATTGATAAAAACAAAATTTCTGGAAGACGTCAGTGAGGTGTAAACTGTGATGATATGAAGTAGCCGAGGCCTTGAATTTGCATCCTAACCTGCAGGAGTGTTGAAGGGAAGCTTTCAGATGAGTTACTTTGAGGAACTGCTTTTGTTCCTTCCTGGTGGTGTGTGTCTCTGGAACCATGCTTTGCAACACAGAGACAAGGATGGAGGCTACTGTGCTGCAGCTTCATCTGTGTTTGTGTTTCAGACACCAAAGGCTGTATTCCCTGCTGGACAGGTTCCGTCTTTCCACTGCACAAGACTCACTCAGCCCCTTGCCCCTGGTCACCTCCCACCCGCTGGATGGGGATGGGCACATGTCCCTGGAGACAGTGAGCCCAGACAAAGTGAGTGTCGGGTTGGTTTGTGTGCGATGCCTGGGAGACGCTGACTCCTCAGTCATCCTGTGGCACGAGGGAGTGTGCAGGGGGCCTCATGCTTGGCTTAGGTCATCAGCAACTCTGGTTGGGAACTCGGGGGGAGACATTCGGGGGCCATAAAGGTCCTAGTGAAAAAAGCAGTGCTGATGCATCAGATTGGCTGGTGGGGTGTGGGTCAGGAGGCTGTGGTGTGAGGAGAGGCCTGCACAGTCTGGTCCCCGCTGCTGGGGTTGTGAGGAGTCTTGTCAGGGGGCTGGGGGTGAACCACGGCCTGGCCTGTGCAATGTGCATGTTCGTATACACACCTGTACTCTCAGCCCACTTCCCTGTCCCAATGTGTGTACCTCCTGTGAATCAATGCTGCTACTGCCACTGCCACCAGCCCTGGAATATTATCATCACCTTCACCACTCACACCTTGGAGTTAGGGGCCAAGTGGGTCCTGTGGAGAGATGAACCAGGTTCTCAGAGACCTGCAGCCTCCCAGAGAGCCATGCCAAGCACACATATCAGTGAGGGTGGTTGGTGCTGTGGCATGTAAGGCCGAGCCAGGGGCTGCTGAGCCTTGGGACTTGGATGAGTTTGGATGGACTTCCGGAAAGGCCCAGGGAGGGAGCATCGAGTGCCAGGAAGAGGCAGTGGTCTGGTGAGCTTTAAGCCAACCAGGGGCCCAGTGTTCCAAGGACAAGAAGCCCTTGACTGCCTGCCTGCCCGCACTCCCTTATCCATCTTCTTCTGCCAGGACTGGTACATCCGCCTTGTCAGGTCCCAGTGTTGGACCAGGTCAGATGCTGCACTGCTGGAAGGTGCGGAGCTGGTGAAGCACCTCCCCGCCGAGGACATGCGTGTCTTCATGATGAGCTCGGTAGGGCAGTGGGACCCTTGGTGAGGCTTGTCATGTCCCATCTCCCTGTGACTGATGTACCCCAGGCAGGAACACTAATCCAGATAAAGATAGCATGTGGAGGCTTCTACTCTGATGGGGATTCCAGGGGGCCTTCAATGAAGATGGGGACCACACATAGGGAGACCTGTTCCCGACAGGGACATCATGGGGGCAGCTCTAATCCAGATGGAGTCCACACTGGACTGAGGGACTACTCCAAATGGGAGCAATTTGTTAGTTATTTCAACCACTTTAGGCTTCAAAAAGGCGAGTTGTTTTTAACTCAGCTTTTCCAGCATGAAAGGAAACACAGTGGCCAGTGCCGCCAGTTTTTTGTCACCGTGTCACCGTAGTGAAGCGCGGTGTGACATTAGTGTCATTATGCATGAGTCCAGTAGCTTTCCCGTGGTGTCCTGGAAACTGATCTTAAGTAGTAGAGAGGGACCCTGCCCCTGTGCCTGGAGTGAGACTCTGCCCAATTGCCCCCAGGTATTAGCAGAGCGGCCTGGAGGCTGTGCACGCATGGGTAGCCCTGTCCTAGAATCCCTGGGCAGGTCCTGGGAGGAGTGGGCCCCTCTTTGAGGTGTCCCTCAACCCTGGGAGGCCTCAGACCAGTGAGGATGAAGAGCTGCCTGGACCTTGTTGTGTCCCAGCCCTGCCTGGGAATGGAGAACCGGGCATGTGAGTGCAGCCCAGAGTGAGAGCTGAAGGGTGGGCTGGGTGCTTCAGTGAGCAGTGCTGGCTGTGGTGTGAAGCCCAGCTGGCATTTGGCTGGTCAGGAAATGTCCTCAGAGGCAGCAGAGACTCAAGGGAGCCCACAAGAGCCAAGATGGGTTTGCTGAAGTTCAGCTCTTCTTAAGCGCTGTGCAATAGGAGCTTCTTTACTAAATGGTAAATTTGCTCGCTGACCAGTGTATTAGGGTTTCCAGATGTGCTGAGTGGGCTTTTAATAGCTTTAAAGCCTCTAGCTAGAACCACAGAAACATTCATTTTGGGCACTCATGATGAAATGTGCTTTCTGAATGTTAAATCAGTGTTCTGTCTGCAAAAAGAGTCCTTAATGACTAAAAAGTTGGCAAACCACATGGTACAAATTGTCCAATGAACTGATCTTTTTCCAAGCAATGTTTCAGCATTTAGATGCCACTTTGGCTTATTCTGGCTGCTTTTGCACAACTTTCTCAAGCTGCAGGAATGTTTGGTATCATACTTATTTCTTGGATGACACATTAGCCTTGATGCTATGCTTCTATCAAATAAAATTTGTATACTGGAATTTTTATTTCAAAAGATCTAAGAGCATAAAATATAAAAACATTACTTTGCCCCAGAGAGACCAGAAATACATTTACTGAGCAAATATTGAAGGGAATCGTTCATATAGTTAAGCTAAGGCATACGAATCATTATCTCAGAAATGCTCATGTTAACCTTGACTGTCTCTATCCTGTCTGGTTGAAAACTGTAGTTTCCGTTGTTGTTAGAATGACCTTTACTGCTCGGATTTCAGGAGTTCAACCTAAGCCTATTGGCCCCGTGCTTAAGCCTCAGCCTGAGTGAAGTTGCAGCTGGCCAGAGGAGCCCCCTTTTTGAAGCAGCCCGTGGGGTGACTCTGGACCGTGTGACCAGCATCGTTGAGCAGCTTCCTGCTGTCCATCAAGTCTTCCAGCCCTTCCTGCCCACACAGCCCACAGCCTACTGGAGCAAGTTGAATGGTCTATTTGGTAATTTAAATAAAAACTTCCTTTATTTTTAAGAAACATATCTGGGCCATCACAGTGCTTTGTACCATGCACTCAGCACTGCTGATCTCAAACATTGAAAGTGTTGATGAAGGTAACTGAGAAACAGCACTGCTGTTGGTAGCTCTAAATTTCTTGCTCTGTGCTTGCCACCTGGCCGCTCATGCACATGGTTGCGGGCCCTTCAGGAAGTCTGCTTTAGACCTCAGTCGGAGGCTGTGGCTCATGTTCCAGAGCACTGTCCGAGGTAGTCCCTTCGATGTCAGCTCAGGTTCTCACAGAATTGCTTGGCTGCTTTCCAAGGGGAAGGCTGACTATGGGGGTCTCATGTTACAGGGGATGCCACATTGTACCAGTCCCTCACCACACTGGCCCGGGCCCTGGCACAGTACCTGGTGGTGGTGTCCAAAGTGCCTGCCCATTTGCACCTTCCTCCTGAGAAGGAAAAAGACACCGTGAAGTTTGTGGCGATGACCCTGGAGGTGAGAGCAGCTCGGGAACCCACTGTTTCTGTGACTGTCCCTGAGAGCGAGCTGTTCTGTTTGAAAACCACCAGGCCTGCGCAATCTGGTTGGCTCTTCCTCCCCACCCCTCGTGACCGTGGGGCCTGCTGAAGGGTCCTGTTCCCCGGGTCACTGGGTGCCTTCAACCCTGATCCCGCCGCTCCCACAGGGATGTCAGGAGGTCCGCAAGGCAGACTCTCACACCTGCACAGTAGACCTGGTGCGGATGCTAATTTTAATCATCTGGCCGGTGTGTTGCGTTTGTTTTTTTTTTTGGTACCAGGGATCAAACTCGGGTCCTTGCACTTGCAAGGCAGGCAGTGGAGGTGTGTTGTGTTTTAAATCAGGAAACCGAGGCACTTGGTCCATGGGGGATGCGTTGCCTTTTTCTGTGCGTGCTGGAGAAAGGCCTGGCTTGGCTTTAGAGTCAGAGCTGTGCTCCCCATCCTGAGTGTGCAGCTGCCACCTCACCCTGAAGAGAAGAGGTCCCCCTGCGTCATTCCCAGGGCACTGAAGAAGTGTCTCTCTGAGTCAGGTCTGTCCTTCAGGGCTCAGCCCAATGGGGACACCTACAAAGCAAACGCAGACATGCAGCACAGAGAGACAGCTACCAGTCAAACCCTGTGCTTGTGCGTGCACTGTCATAGTTGGTTCCTAGGACAGCCCCACGGGGCAGGCTCTGTTCTCATGTCACAAAGAGGCTCAACAACTTGCCCTGGTAGGAAGTAGCCAATCCAGGGTTGATCCCATGTCCTGCTGACCCCAGACCCCACATTCCCACTCTCAGCCTGTGGTTGCAGCAGAGGCGAGCTCCAGCTACAGAAGCCCCAGAGAAGAGCCTCTGGTCAGGGACCACATGGCTTGAGAGAGGGTTCCAGAGGGGGCCGGGGTGCTGAAGGAGGAAGAGGCAGCCAGAGTGGGAGGGGTGTCACAGAGAGGGCAGTGGTGAGCAAGACTGAATGTCAGGGAGCTGGAAGGGCAAGGTCATCTGGCCCCTGGCCCCATGATCGTGACACAGTGGTTACCCCTCAGCCATGCACGGCACTGCTTCCTGGAGGCCCCCGAGACGGGAAGGACAGGCAGTGGTCTCTGACACAGTGCTTTACTCTAGGCCCTGTCATGGCATTTGATCCACGAGCAGATCCCACTGAGTCTGGACCTCCAGGCTGGGCTGGACTGCTGCTGCCTGGCCCTGCAACAGCCTGGTCTCTGGAGTGTGGTCTCCTCCGCCGAGTTTGTGACCCACGCCTGCTCCCTCATCCACTGTGTGCGATTCATCCTGGAAGCTGGTGAGTCCACATCCCTGCTCAGCACAACCAGAAATGAGCAGTGCATCTCCACACGGTGTTCATTTGGGCCCCGACACTCCAGGACTGCAGCTGGGACATGGGGTGAGGAGGTGGATGGGAGGTGGGCCTTATCTTTAGAAGGCCCTGTCTCCACCTCCGGAATCTTGGCATCTGCGCTAGAATTTAACTCGAATTTTTCTAATCATTTTGTCTAGGCTTTGGAGTTCCAGCTTTCTAAAAACTCTAAGTTATATATTTCTTTGATCTCTGGTCCTAGTTGACTGTTTCATGTTTTCAGTCTTAAATGATTGTAAGATTACATTCAAAAGATGGCTTGTCTTCTGTTAGAGTGGAAATGCTGTTTCTATACTGCATTGTAATACTAATACATTAAAATTAAAGTGACTCATTCTTTTCAAGCAACAATGCCATGTCCTCAGGGAGGGTCATTAGCCAGAATGCTTAAAAAATTGGACACTATAGTTGACATGTTAGAGGGTGTTTTGAAGTTTTGTATTTTCAAATTAGACAGAGTGGTGTTTTAATGTTTCATTGTTTAAATTGTTTTCATGTGTGCATTCGTAGTCAACTTGAAAATGAAGGTCCAGGGATTAATTTTTAACAGCCAGGCTTCTTTGGGTTTACAGTGGTGCTTTTAGCAGGGTTGAATCATGAACTGTCTGATAAAAACCTTGAAGGTGGAAGTGGCGGACAGGAGACGTGGAAGCCCAAACATAGCAGCGCAAATCTTGCGCATTCATGATTGACCACGAGGTGGGTGCCCGTGTCTGGTCTTGTTGGCCATTTTCTGCTTGACTGTGTAGAAGGCAGTCTGGACCTCATGACATAGCTGTCCCTGTGCAGCTTCACGAGGCCACACAGACATACAGATGAGAGTAGAGAGGGACAGCAGGTATGTTTGGAGGTTCTCATCTGCTCTTCTGTCTTCCAGTTGCAGTGCAGCCTGGAGACCAGCTTCTCAGTCCAGAAAGTCGGACGCGCACCCTAAGGGCCGTCCAAGAGGAGGAAGTAAATGTAGACACACAGAGTAAGTTTCAGGACCCATTTTTCTTACCTGCCTTTTTGGACTTGAAATTAATTCACAAAGGAGACTTATAAAGTGCAAAATGAGGACTCCGGAAACTGGCGTACTTTGGCTGCCTCTGTTGCTCATCCTTGAATTGAAGGGGTGACACCTTGTTCCTCTGCTTCAACCTGGGCCCTGCTCTCTGGCTGTCCATGCCTCCCACCCAGCTGGACTATCGTGTCCCCAGTGCCCTCCCTCATCCTCGCCCTCCTCTACCCTCTGGAAAGCATCCCTTCCTTAACACTTTCCACGCCAACTGCATTGACTCCGAGCTCCTTGAAGGCAGGGAATGTGCTTTGCTTTTCTGCATTTCCAGAATTAAAGCTTGGCCTATTGCAAATGATCAGCAAATGGCAAATGTTTGCTGAGTGAATGATTAAGTAGAAATACTAAAGAAGTTAGTGAAAGTACCCATGTGCTATGCCATAACCTGAATGTCTATTCAGCCATCTCTTGTGGTAGATTTTTAAAAGAAAATTCTTGTTCTTTGTACCAAAAAAAGTTGAAATCACCATCATTTAAGCCTGATCCACACTCAGCCCATCAGTAGCTTTTCGTGTGTTTCCTTCCTGACCTAGGGTGGCTGTTTCGCTGTCCCAGTGGCAGCGAGGCTGCTTGGGAGGAAACATTTTGGGAAGTGACTCCTCGTCCTCCCGGCCTGTGGCCCCTGGGGCCTTTCATCTCTGTTAGCTGAGGGGCTACAGCTTGGCCCTGCAGAGGGGAAGTGTGCCTGCCTGTCTTCTGGACCACTCTTCCTGGAGTGCCAGGGTCGGCTCCGTGCTGCGTGACCTCCAGAGCACCTTTGTGCAGAAATACCTGTCTCGGGCAGCATCTCACCGTCTTCTGTCTTGGGCACAGTATCTTTTCTTCCGGTCCCAGTTCAAGGTTTTGAGGTGTATAATGGCCCAAAAGCAGTGCCAGCTCAGCACACCAAGCCCTTCTCTGGATTTTTATCGGGAGCTCTTCAGTCCCTGCAGCCCATGGATAGTGATTTTGTGATTTCTGTTGACACTTTAGGAGCAGGAAAACATTCACCTCCCAGGCTGGCTGTTTTCTAGCAGAGCAGCAGTTCAGGTTATTTATGTTGTGCTTGTGCGGTGAAATAAAAAGGAGCTAAGGACAGGCAGCCAGCCCGTGAAGCACCTGAACATACCTGGAGTGCACGCTGGCCTGGAGTGAGTGCTTGGGAGGTAGCTCCCCACTTTCATTTGCCATGGATTCCCTGCTCAGCTGTAGCTGGATGTTTCAGAGGCCTGAGGTGGAACAGCGGGCCCAGTGGCGGAGTGTATGAGTTCTGGTTAATATAATTGTGCCCATTCTCCATGAACTCTTTCTGCTGGTTTATTTAATCCTGGCCAGAGGAAGAAATTCAGTTTTTTATCACTTCTGTACATTAATACTTCATAAAGATTGTCCAGTAAATAGTAATTCCAGCCTTGTTTTTTGAGTTGGTTCAACTCCAATAAGATTTTTTTTTGGCGGGGGGGTACTGGGGTTCAAATTCAGGACCTTGCGCTTCTAAGGCAGGCGGCGGAACCACTGAGCTAAATTCCCCAGCCCAAGAATTATTTTTCTAAACTAGAAAGTTGCCTAAATCTTGTGCCCAAAGTTAGTATCCATCTAATAAGTGTTTATCAACTCAAGAAATAGTTTTTAGTTCCACACTGTATATAAGACTCAGAGTGAATGTGAGCAGTCCCTCCCCTGCAAACTTGCCAGGTGAGCATGGTGGTTCTTAACCAGGGTCCAGAATTGCCCTCACCCCTGTGCTTTGGGGGTTCAGCCTGTGGAGCACCCTGGTTTTAGGGAGATGGTAAACCAGGGGTTACAGCATGGTTCTCTGCACTCTGGCTTAGGGACAGATAAGGATCCTGGGAGAGCCAGAGAAAGCCAAGGGCAGGGAGACGTCCTGAAGGACATGTGAATCTGCCGGGCAGCATGCTGGCGACTAGATGTTGCCGAGCACGTGCCTACTGAGGGAGGCGAGAAGCCTGGGGACAGAGGCCAGAGCTCAGGCTTGAGACTGTTGCCACTGTCCCGGCAGAAATGGGGAGGATGGCAAGGGAGGTGAAGCACAGAGCCTCTGTTGTGGCCTGAGCAGCTGTAGGCCCGTGTCTCCTCCACGGGGCGTGCGGGGCAGGGCTGGGCTGGGCTGTGTTTTGACAGAGCCCTCTCCTGACACACTTGCTGGTGTAGATCCCAAATTCATCACCACGGCCTGTGAGATGATGGCAGAGATGGTGGAATCCCTGCAGTCGGTGCTGGCCTTGGGCCACAAGAGGAACAGCAGTGTGCCTACATTTCTCACAGCGGTGCTCAAGAACATTGTGGTCAGCCTGGCCCGCCTCCCCCTCGTCAACAGCTACACTCGAGTGCCGCCCTTGGTGAGTCTGCTTGCTTGGTTGTGCTGGGCCGGAGCAACCCAAGGCTGATGCAGAATCCACAGCTCCAGTGCCCCCTGCAGTAGCTAGAGCATCTCATCACGTGTGGGATGACAGCTGTCTGGTCCCCAGGTGTACTGTGCAGCATTGTTAGAAATAATTGAGTTTTCTAAAATGAGCTGAGGCATTACAACATCAAACAAGATTTCCTCTCCTGATGAAATGATGCATGAATGTTGGGTGTGATTCTAAAGTAATTAGACTACTTTGTGATAGGCCAGAAACTATAGCCTCACATATTTTCTTTCAAAAGTGGTTACCTTTGGGGCCAGGGATTTAGCTCAATGGTTTTGCCGTCTGCTTCGCAGGCGCAAGGACCCGAGTTCGATCCCTGGTACCAAAAAACCAAGCAACAACAAAAAGTAGTTACCTTTGAAGATACTCATGCATTTCACCACAACCCTTTGGCAGTCCCTCCCTTGAAATTGTCTTCAGGACAGTTAGAAAGAGACACCATCACTCAGGACTCTTGTTTCAGATAACAGTAGGAACTTAGCCCACGGGAGGGTCGGTGGCGGCTGGTTGACCCCTCCCCAGTGAAACTGCATCAGCCCCCTGGCCTGCTCTGGTGACAGTGGGTTGCATTCTCAGGCAGGTCAGAAAGGGCGGCTTCACAGGCCTGGGGATGGGCACTGTTCCCAGCCGGCAAAGCCCAACGCCTGCCGCTGGGACACAGCCTCTGGTGTGTGTACATGTGGTCATGGGGGGATGTGCACACTAAGGAAGGCACACTCTTTGGACCTGGAGGGGGCGAGGGTCTTGCTGTGGAGGATGAAGGTGTAAAGGCCCATTCTGAGGGGGAGCAGCAACCCCGCAAAGCTAGCAGTGCCTGTAGAAGAGAGGAGTGCAGGGTCTGCATGTGGGCAGTCCTTCAGGTCCTGGGAAGGGGTATGGGAGAGGGCACAGGGAGGCCCAGCCTAGAGGTTGCATTGTCCAGTGGGCCTACGCTGTCCCCGCATGGGCTGTGGGCTGCAGGTGGCCTCTGCAGCATCTTGGCCAGAGAGGTGGCTGTGGTGGCACCATGGCGTGCCCTCGGCATGGAGGGTGGCTCTCCCGTGGTGAGGCCGAGCCCCTCTGCCCTGGCACCAGTGGGATGTGGGGATCCCGAGTGGGCTTGGCCTGGCCTCCCTTGGAGCCCTGTGGCTTTACTCAGGGATATGGCCGAGCTGGCTGGGCACTTACTGTCCTGCTTCTGGTACAGCAGTGGGTCAGCCTCAGGCTCCTTCTGTACGCCATACCACCTGAGCACCGAGGACAGAAAGCTCACCGATGTGGTTTTGTTTCATGCCTGCCTGTGGTCTGATACATGTCTCCGGGCATGGGATGCTGCCTGATGCTTGCCCCCAGCTTAGTATCTCCCACGAGGAACCTGGTAGTGCAGCTGGCCTGGTGGGGGCCAGGGCAGCACCACAGTAAGGCAATGGGCCTGGTCTGGATAGCAGGTCGGGAGGTCTAGAAGGTCCTGGGAAGGGCTTGGAGCCCTCCTGGAAGTGGAATCCAGGCAGCGGCAAGGGCGGCTGGCTCAGCAGGGTCTTGGATGGAGAAGTGGCCTTTCTTGATTTTCTCACGGAGCACTGTCCTGACCCCATGCAGGTGACGGGCTTTCCTTTCTTCTCAGGTGTGGAGACTCGGGTGGTCCCCCAAGCCAGGAGGGGACTTTGGCACTGTGTTCCCCGAGATTCCCGTGGAGTTCCTGCAGGAGAAGGAAGTCTTCAAGGAGTTCATCTACCGCATCAACACTCTAGGTACTGGGGAGCTCCCTCAGGTCCCAGACTGCTGTGCAGGGCCGCAGCCAGAGCTCAATGCCAGTCCAGATGCAGGTCACTGTAGAGACCTGCCTGGGTGCATCTTGCAGTGCATGCCAAGCTCCTTGTCCCTGAGAAATCCCCAACTATGTGCGCACATGTGAGTTAGTACCAGGCTTGTCTGAAGTCAGGGCAGGTGTGCGTGTAATTGATATTGTGAAGCTAGATTCTGTCTTTATCATCCATGCAGGCTGAATAGTGGCAGGGATTTCCTTAGAATGTTCTCTTCTGTCCCCCTGTTTGATGTTCTCACTGCTCTCCTTTCACTTGTGTGGAACAAGCAGATTGTCCTAGACACCCTGACTCCACCTGCAGGCTTCCGCAGGCTTGGGGTCTGTTCTGACCTAGGAGGTTCCAGCAACAGACACCTTGCCTCAGCTTCCTCCTCACGCAGCTAGATGGTCCATCTCCCTTCCTGGGCAGCCAGCTCCCTCGCGGGGCTTCCTTCTTCCTGCCCTGCCCATGGCCTGGTGCAGCTCTGTCCTCCTGAGTCATCCTCTGGCCTGCCTGGCGCAGGCTGCTGCTTATGCTTCCCCGGAGCCTGCCTCTCGTGCTTGAGAGTTTGGCTTCCATCCTTCTGTGAATTGTCAGTGTCTCTACAGTGTCTGCATTGGCCTCTCCATGCCTATGCTAACAGGGAGGGCCTGGAGTTTGACACTCTGGTTTGCCTCCTCTTCCCTCTTTCCTGGCACTTGTGGCTTGCGGATGAGTGCCCTGACTGTCCTCGGGTCACGATGGGACACTCAGTACAATCCCTGGAAACAGCTGTGTGCCAGACTCCCCTCTGAGGGTGTCTCCTCGGGGAGACCAGAGGACGCTTCTCAAGTGGGCTGCACTGAGTGCTGGCCTTGCTGGCTGGGATCCCACGCTGCCACCCATCCTAAGATGTGGTGAAAGAGTTGGCAGCATGAGCTTCTGATCTTAGCAGTGTCCCTGAGAAACAGTTCTGTCCTTTCCGTGAGCCCTGTGACATCAGCAGTCTCTGGTCAGAGTTGGGGATGACTCTGACCACTCAGCATGCTCGTCCTTCTACCGCCACATGGCAGGAGGTGGAGAGGGTGCCTGGGCTGAGGGCACCGAACTTCTGTGTGCCCCGGTGTCCTCGTTGATAAGATGGAGGGAATCCCTTCCCTCCCTCGCAGAACTGTCCTGAGGGTTGAAAAGGAGTTAGCTGTGGGTGACGCCCTTGGTACAGTGCCTGTCAGTGCCGTGTGGCTGTGACCACCCACAAGTTGGAGAAGTGGGTGGAACTGACTAACAGGAGCCTTGCATTCCCAGGGTGGACCAGTCGTACCCAGTTTGAGGAAACTTGGGCCACCCTACTCGGTGTCCTGGTGACCCAGCCTCTTGTGATGGAGCAGGAGGAGAGCCCGCCTGAGGTAAGGTGGCGGTGATGCAGATGTGCTGATGACAAGCTTGCTCCTGGGAGCTTGTCACTCCCTGGCAGTTGACAGAAAGAAGGCGGCAACCATTCTTCACAAAGGAGCCTCACCAGATGTGCTGCTCTACACCTGTGATCCTAGCCACTTGAGGCTGAGGCAGGAGGATGGCAAGCTCACGGCCAGATAGGGTCTTATGAAGACCTCGTCTCAAAATAGAATTTGTAGAAGGCTGGGAATGAACCTTAACACTCTCAGGGTTTAATCCTCAGTGCCACCAAAAAAAAAAAAAAAACCCTAAAAGATTGTGTCTTGCCTGATGTCTGCAGCAGGCCTGATCTCCCTAAGGTCTAGTATCTGAGGTTGGCCGTGGCTGGGTATTTGATTACGGTACATTCCATCTTAAGGATCAATAAGGTTGGGCTGGGGATTTAGCTCAGTGGTTTTGCCGCCTGCTGCGCAAGCGCAAGGACCCAAGTTCGATCCCCTGTTCCAAAAAAAAAAAAGAATCAATAAGGTTGTGATCCCTCTTGAAAATATCTTGTTCTGTTTATTTTTCAGTATCCAGAAGAGTGTAGGTTGAATTAAAGTGAAAAAAGGCAGTTAATCCAGGCCATACACATGGATGCGCTTTCCTCTTGGAATTGCTTTGCAGAGGCTTATTGTGGAAGTGTTCATGTGCATTGAGTTCATATGGCTTAGACGTGTTCCTGTAAGCAGAGCCTGGGGTGTAAGAAGTGTAGGGCGAGAGGGAAGTGCAGGTGGCGTAATGGGGATGTCTGCACACGACAGTTCAGAGGGCGGGCATATGTCACACATCATCAAGATGTCTTTAAATCCGCCTCAGATGCGATGGGCCATCATGTGCGGCACCCTTTAACATGAGGCACTTTAAAGACAGTCCTTACCAAGTAATCCCTACTTGGAGTCTCGCGCCCTTGGGAGACCTTGCTTTGCCTGTCAAATTCATTGTAGGCACAGATGTGTGGAGAGGCCACTTGTGCTGGGGGACCTTGGCCAGGTAGTTGACCCTGGCGGGGGATGCTATGTCCCTCTGTGGCACTTTGGGCTCTCAGCTTCCTCCCTCTGGGGCCCTGGGGCCTGCAGCCTATTTGTGAGGTGGCAGATCTGGCTGTGGCTGTCTCCTCGTGTCATCCGTGTGTTGCCTGTCCTTCCAGGAAGACACAGAGAGGACCCAGATCCATGTGCTAGCTGTGCAGGCCATCACCTCCCTGGTGCTCAGTGCCATGACCGTGCCTGTTGCTGGCAACCCAGCAGTGAGCTGTCTGGAGCAGCAGCCCCGGAACAAGCCCCTCAAAGCTCTTGATACCAGGTTGGCCTGAGTGCATGTGTGTGCCGTGTCCCACTGTTGGGACAGCCAGGTGCCCTTCCCTGCCCGGGACCCAGCAGCTTCCCCCAGCCACAGAGGTGCAGAGCCAAAAGTGATTCCATGCCAGTGAGAAGTTGAAACTTTTGGCCTGAAATTGCATGGGGGTCACTGGGTGTCTGGGGACTGTGGTGGGCAGGAGAGACTGACAGGAGTCACTTACAGAGTGAGTCCTCTGCCGTTATACAGGTCGGTTCCTGTAGGCTCAGCAGAGAGCAAGCTGGTGGTTTCTGCTGTAAGATTTTGAAGGAAACAAAATGCTCTTTTTTTGTTCTGCACTTCAGGTTTGGGAGGAAATTGAGCATGATCAGAGGGATTGTAGAGCAGGAGATTCAAGCGATGGTTTCCAAGAGGGAGAATATTGCCACCCATCACGCATACCAGGCATGGGATCCTGTTCCCTCTCTGTCACCCGCCACTACAGGTATGGAGGAGGGGCTGCAGTGAGTGTATGCCGTGCTGTGTGCTCAAGGAGTGCCAGCATGCCCAGGACGGTCTAGTGCTTTGTTGTTGTTTATTTTATTTTATTTTATTTTATTTTTTTCTGGTACTGGGGATCAAACTCAGGATCTTTCACTTGGAGGCAGGTGTGGTGCCACTGAGCTAAATCCCCAGCCCTGCTCTAGTGTTGAGGAAGTGAAATCTGCGAATGAGCGTGAAGCCTCCTGTCTCGGGAGTCACGCTGTGGAAGCCAATCCGACGATTTCTCAAGGCAGCCATGGGGATGTAGTCTGGCTGGTTGCTCACATTAACACATGAGGTTTGTCCAGCTGATCAGGGGCTCTGGTTCTCCTGAGAAACCCACCTGCGGGAGCTTGCGTTCCTGGGTGGCTCCACACTGGCTGCCGGCCTCCCCTGCCCTCCTCCACGGGCCTGGCCCACAACAGGCTCTGGAGCCCGTTGCTCTGGCTCTGAAAAAGGGAATGCTGTCGGTCATTCCTTCACAATGCACGTTGTAGGTCGGCGATCCCTGAATATTTAAAAACTTAGTGGTGCCACGGTTAAGCATCTCAAAGGCTTTATTTGAAAAAGGTTCTACATGGGAGTGCGGTGTGTTGCATGCCCAGAAGTTTCCTGGGACATTGACCTGAACGGTGCTGTGAACGTGGGTGCCCGTGGATATGGCCTTTGAGGAGCCTGTGGTGTAGCTGTCACAGAGGCAGAGCAGGTCTGAGAGGGGCACAGGAGATGACCCGGGAGTGCTCCCGGGGGTGTGGTGACAGGCCCTCTGGCACAGGGTCATCAGCGAGGGCAGATCCTGTTTGTGTGGGGAAAAGTGATGGTGCTGTTTGGCCACCAGCCCTGCCCACATCACAGAACCTGAGGCCTGCAGGCTCTGGCCAGTGGGCAACCAGCCCAGCGGGAGTGGGCACTGCAGGTGTGTGCAGAGGGTGCTCACAGTGCCTGGCTTCACAGGTGCGCTCATCAGTCATGACAGGCTGCTGCTGCAGATCAACCCTGAGCGGGAGCTGGGCAACATGAGCTACAAGCTGGGCCAGGTGAGTCATGTGCTCCCTTCGGACCTGGGCCTGCACTCCTCTAGGAGAGAGGACAAATGCCTCCCTCCTCCTGCCCATTCTTCCCTCCCTTCTGTCTTTCTCCTTTACTTCTGGTTCTGGGGATCGAACTCAGGGCATCGAACTCAGGGCATCATGCATGCTAAGCAAGCACTTTACCAGTGAGCTACATCCACCCCTTTTTATTTTTTACATAGAGACAGGGTCTCACTAGGTTCCCAGGCTGCCCTCAAACTGATGATCTTCCTGCCTCAGTCTCCTGAGTAGATGGACTATAGATGTATCGTTATTGCCCAGCCTAAATGGACTTCTAAAAGGAACTTTTTTTTTTCTAAAAGGAACATTTACTTTTGTTTCTATTTACAGTCTTTATCCCAAAAAGATTTTAAGAGTTTGTACATGTAGTTATATAGATGTGTATAAGTCCTAGCGGGTGGCATGTTCGAGACAGGTGAGACCCTCTGCCAGCTGCTGTCTCCTCCCACCTCGCCCCTGCTGCCCCCCAGCTGCCGACTCAGGGCTTCACTAGCGTCCTCAGGGCTTCTCTGAGATTGTGGCTCAGTCAGGTACGGTCCATGGCCCAGGCCTGCACATGCAGGAAGCCAGCCTTGAAGAGAACGCGCTCATGCAGGTTCCCTGTTTGCAGCGATGGGATTCAGAGGTCACTTAGGAGCCCTGTCCTCCCTCCTCAACACTGCTCTCCTTCCACCCTTCAGCTACTATTCCAGGCCTTGGGCCTGAGGACAAAGCTGTCCAGTGGCAGTCCCACCCATCACTGCTGCTTCTGACAGCCCATGGGATGCTGTTCCCAGGCAGATGTGCTCTGTCCAGCCTAGGCCATACCTGCCCTCCAGAACCCAGATGCCAAGCTGTGTATTCTGTTTTTGTGGCAGGTGTCCATTCACTCCGTGTGGCTGGGGAACAACATCACCCCTCTGAGAGAGGAGGAGTGGGATGAGGAGGAGGAAGAGGAGGCTGATGTCCCTGCACCTGCATCCCCACCCGTGTCTCCAGTCAACTCCAGGTATGCAGTGGCCTCTTTAAGTGTTTGTTTTTTCCTCTAGTTCTAGGGGTTGAATCCAGGCCCTTCACATTGAGCTGCATCCTCAGACCTTTTTCTCTTTATTTTGAAACAGTCTCACTAAATTTCCCAGGAGAGCCTCAAACTTGGGACCCTCCTGCCTCAGCCTCCCAGAGTGCTGGGATTTCAAGCATGCACCACTCTGCTTGGCTTGGCCTCATTTTTTGAAGCAGTTTGAAATGTTCCCATTTGATTTGTTTGGATGTTTCCTGAAGTGCCCTTCTCATCTCCATGTGGAGAACGATCCATGTCTCATGCTCTGCAGGAAACACCGGGCTGGAGTCGACATCCACTCCTGTTCACAGTTTCTGCTCGAGTTGTACAGCCGGTGGATCCTGCCCTCCAGCTCGGCCAGAAGGACCCCGGTCATCCTGATCAGCGAAGTGGTTCGCTCTGTACGTGTGCCTTCCCCATTCCCCTCTCACACCCCACATGTGTGTGCCAGACACACACCGTCTCCACACCCCAACGAGCACACAGGTGCACGACATGTACTGCCACACTATCCCGCCTGCATACACCCAGACACATACTGAACAAGTGCTACTCGTGCACACCACACACACCCACACCCTCAGATCCCAGGTGGGACCCGCACAGACACCCAGAAATGGTACGGTAGCGTCTGGGGAACTGCTGAAGGAACAGAGTTCCCATTTCTGATCTGGAACAGAACAGGAGAGGTGCAGGGACATGTCAGTCACCTCATTCCCAAGGCACACCCGCCCCTGGGCTCTGTCTCCTCCGGGGCTGTGGTGGACAGTCCCGCTGAGCCCCTAGTGAGGAGCACCAGGTCATGCAGCTGCCCCAGTGGAGGGTCTGGGGCCTTCACTCTGCAGCTATTGCGGGCCCCAAGGCCTCTGCCCCTGTGCACCAGAGCTGTCAGCATTCACAGGGCTGCAAGTGAACACTGAGAAGCTTTGCAACATAAATGCTTAGTACACTTTAAAATAGTGATAGCTTTTATAAGAAATCTTTTTTTGGGGGGGGGTACCGGGCATCAAACTTGGGTCCTTGTGCTTGCGCAGCAGGCGGCGAAACCACTGAGCTAAATTCCCGGCCAAGAAGTCATTTTTTAAGATTAGAGTTTTAGGGCCGCGGGTTTTTGATCTCTGGTACCAAAAAAAAAAGATTAGAGTTTTATCTTCCATATTTGCAAACATAGAATCCAGGTGCCTGTTTTCTTAGGCGTTTGGTCTGTTAGCATCGAGTAACCTCCAGGAAATCCCTCTGTACACTCGGGAGAGAATGAGGCAGAAAGGCCAGCGCCACATTGGTGTTGTTATGGAAGGTCCTGACCCGTGAGCCCCGGAAGGTATCTGGGTAGCTGGCATCCCGGGGACCCCTTGAGGGTGCTGGTTCAGACTCCAGCCCCACCCTGGCACCTGGACAGGCCTGGGCCCAGGCTGCCAGCTCACTCCTGTGGAGCAGGGGTTGACACTAGCCAGTGCCCATGGACAGGTATGAGGTGAAGAGCTGACCTCCAAGAAGGGGCCTGTGGAGCAAGGAAGAGATGTCTAGGCCTTGGTTTCTGAGGCAAATGACCATGTGTCTCCCTCTCCCGGGGTCTACAGGGCCCGTCCCCCGCAGTGCAGGGAGGGCCCGATCTTTGGAAGTGTAGCAGGGAGCACATCTCACTGGGCTGCCGGTGGGCAGGCATCCCCACACAGCTTGGCCCCCGTCTGCAGCATGTGCTTGTGGAGACTCACCAGACGCCAGGGGCCGTTTTCTGCCCTGTGGCTGAGGTCTCCAGGTTGGCACTGACATCTTTCCCAGGCAGCGCTCCTGTGAGTCCCCATCCTTTGTTCCCTGAGATAAATTAGAAGCAGCCTTGCCCCAGCAGGCTTAGGGCCGCATTCCTCACAGCTGGGCCCTCCTCCTCCCTGTTCCCATCTTCCGTGTGCAGCTTCTCGTCATCTCAGATTTGTTCACTGAGAGGAACCAGTTTGAGATGATGTATTCGACGTTGACGGAACTGCGGCGGGTACACCCTTCGGAAGATGAGATTCTCATCCAGTACCTAGTGCCGGCCACCTGTAAAGCGGCTGCTGTCCTCGGAATGGTAAGTGAGAGGCGGTGTGGAGCCCACCTGTGCCGGTGCCACCTGGGCCTGCTCTGCCTGGGACCTGTGTTGGCCAAATGCATCCTGAGCCGAACCCCCCCCCCACACACACACACGTGAGGCGCAGCTGTGGTCAGTTGGCGAGGACCCAGCTCCTGCGGGGCCGCCCTTTAGGGTGTGTGCCGTGCTGTGGTGCAGGACCCTGGTGTGGGGCTCCTGCAGCCATTGGTTATGTCATTACAGCTGACTGTCCCCAGATGGCCCGGGGACTGCACAGATGGTGGGAACATAACTGGCCTCTCCAGTCTACCTGTAGCCTGGCAGCCCTGCTGTCCTCTCTGATGTGGTCCGGGTCTCCTGCTTCTCAGCCGGCAGTCTCCTCCAGAGACTGTTGTCACAGTAATGCTGCTTCCCCTCCTGTGGCCTGGTACTGGAGGCTGTTCTGCAGCGGGCTGCCTTAGTCTATTTATGCTGTCTCAGAAAACACCTTAGACTGGGTGACTCACGAACAACAAGTTCTCGTCTCATGTTCTGAAGCCAGGAATTCAGAGCACAGAGCCAGCTGGATCCGCACCTAGGGAGGGCTCTGTGCACTGATGGGAGAAGGGTGATCCTTTGGTCAGGTGAAGCCCCCGAGAAGTCCCCGTTACCTGCTGCTGCTTTATCAGGTCTGATCTGTCCTGGTACATGTCACCATGTGGCAGCCACTGGGTGTACCTTGGTACACGTATCTCTCACTAGAGTGGAGCTTGGGGTATTGGCGTTCCCGTCAGAGAAGAGTGATGCCAACTACTGCAACTGGTGTCCGTTTGCTCTTTGTCACACAGCGTGTCCCGTAATTGTAATGTTTCTGGCTCACGTGTCTCCTGGGATCTATTTTTGTGATAGCAATAGTAACTCACTTCCTCAGTGGACACAGGAGAGGCTGCCTGCCATATGCCGGGCATTTGGGCCACCAACAGGAGTAGCATGGAGGACCTGCCAGTGCCCCTCCATGTGCCAGTAGCAGCAGCACTGCTTTTGCATTGCCACAGTCTGTCCACCAGCCTCTGCTGAGCTGTCCCTCCTGTACCCTGTCCACCTTCGACCACAGCCTGACACAGTGACAGGACATGGCAGGCCCGGCTCTCACCCCTCCCAGCCACTCCCCGCAGAATCTGTCATCACAGAGCCCGAGCAAAGAGCAGATACTGGCCGTTGTAGGTGGCCTAAGCCTGGGCCCCGTGGGTGACTGAGCCGTCCAGAGTGCAGGAACAATGGGCTTGTTGGTCCCCTTGTGTGGAAAGTCTTCAAAGAGGTGCCCTCTGGGTGCTGCCAGGATGGTGCCAAGCAGCCCAATTTGTGGGAGGCCCTTTCTTCTCCACGGGGGGTTCAGCATCTGGCCTGCTGTGATTTTGTGCCCAGGCTCAGATCCCCCAGGCAAATGTCCATCAGATACCTTGAGTAAGGAATAATGACCTTATAAACAGGTCGTAAGGCAGGGCAAGGTGGCGGATGGGTCCCACTCCCTGGTCTGTGCCCTGGATGTTCCTGAAGACTGTGGGCTACTGTGTGGCTTCTACTCCTGCGTGGCTGCAGACAGTGTCCATGTGCCACTGTCTTTGCCCTCGGTTGCCCTTGGCAGCAGATCCTGGCATTGTACTGGCAGAAGTCGCCTGGAGGCTGGATTGGAGGGCAGCCCTCTGGAATGTGCCACACAGCCACCTGGGTGCCTGTGGGGACGGCATGTGGAGGGATGAGAAGGATGTAACTGGTGACCAGACAGTGGGATACAGGCTCCTACAGAGAGCAGGGTGGCCGCTGGCCTCTTGTTGCTTTTGTGAGACCTGAGGGGCCTGCAAACTCAGCTGTGAGAACTCTGCTACCTCCACTCCATGGAGGCGTGGGGACAGCCCCATCGGGTGCAGGGAAGTGGGCTGGCACATGAGCTAGCCATCCACCTCAGCCACCTTGCGTCTGTGCTTGTGCCCAGGACAAGGCCGTGGCAGAGCCAGTCAGCCGCCTGCTGGAGAGCACCCTCAGGAGCAGCCACCTGCCCAGCCAGATCGGAGCCCTGCATGGCATCCTGTATGTGCTGGAGTGCGACCTCCTGGATGACACCGCAAAGCAGCTCATCCCGTACATCAGCGACTACCTCCTGTCCGGGCTCAAGGGGGCAGCCCAGTGAGTGGGTTGGGTCCCGTCTGAGCGGCCGGAGTGTGCACAGCAGCTCCCTGGCCGATAGGAGGCGGGAACCCGGGTGGGCTCCCATCTCAAGCTGGCGGCTCAGGCTGAGGCCAGGGAGACACAAGGATGCAGAGGTGTGCTGAAGCTCTCCTGGATGTCTGAAGTAGGATGGGCAGTCCTGCCTCTGCATTCTTCTCCCATGCAGTTGCTTCTTTTTCTTTTTTTTTTGGTACTGGGGATCGAACTCAGGTCCTTCCACTTGCACAGCAGGCAGTGAAACCACAGAACTAAATCCCCGGCCCCATGTAGTTGCCTCTAACTCGCTCTCTGCCAGGCTCGGTCACTCGGCAGCTGCCCTGCCCCATGCCCTGTGGTCCCCCCAGAGGTCACCTATTCCTGCTCTCATCTCAGCCTCCGCTCCCCTTAAAGCAGCTTGATGCACAGCTCTGCGCAGCTTTTTTGCTAGAACCTTTTAGAAGGCAAGATGAGTTCACACAGTGTGTCTGTCTTGTGAGTGTGGGCACCCTGGCTTCACCTCCACACTCCTGCATGCAGAGGCCTGGCCAGGGTGGCAGTCACCTTGGAGTCCTGATTGCTGCACACAGAGTTGTCTTTCACACTTGCTGTCTGGAGAGAGTCATTCTGGCAGGGAGGGGGAGCCAGGTGCCCCCTCCTGACAGGAGTGCAGCTGGGGAGGGAGGGCGAAGGACAGACAGGGAGTGGAGGGCTGGAGGTGAGCCTTGGTTGCCGTGAGGGCCATGTTCCCACAGGTCAGACCTGTCAGCAGGTGTGCACTTTGGGGAGGCAGAAGTAGGGAAGCTGGCACAGGCCTGTAGGGAGGTCCTAGTGCTTTGTCCTCACGGGATGGTGACCTTCGGGTGAGCAGGACAACCACACAGCCGGACACTGTCCCCTAGTGTGTGGCCCGGAACAGTTGCATGCAGGGCTGCAGGGCACTGAGGACTGGGAGGGGCCAGAGTTGCCAGTGTCCAAGTGGATAGGGTGAGCAGAGGCGGGGCCTGGGGAGGCTAGGGAGCCTCATATGGACTCACCTGCTCCATGGAGGTGGCGGGGTGTCAGTTCCTCTGTCCACAGTGGCCCTCGCCCAGCACAGGCCAGCCAGGGACCCTACAGTCCAGGATTACAAGGTAGCAAGTGCTGCCCAGGTAGACACCTGAGGAGGACAGGGGAGAGTCCACAGGGCTCGCTGAGTGTGGGAGGGGGTAGCCTCACAGGATGCGGTGCAGGGAGAGGTGCCAGCCGAGAGGGCCAGGTGTGTGGCTGGGCCCCTGGGAGGCCGTCCCCCTGGGGAGGTAGGGCTGCTGTGCGCTAAGCATGGCGGTCTCCCGTCTCCAGCTGCGTGAACGTGCACAGCCAGCAGCACGTGCTGGTGATGTGTGCCACTGCTTTTTATCTCATCGAGAACTACCCGCTGGACGTGGGGCCTGAGTTTTCAGCGTCAGTCATACAGGTGAGTGGGCCCTGGCTGGGCTTCCCTGGGACCCAGGAAAGGCTTCTTTGGGTCCCCTGGGGGGCTGTGGATTTGGGGAAGGTGGGAACGAACGCTTCTTCTTGCCCAGATGTGTGGAGTGATGCTGTCCGGCAGTGAGGAGTCCACTCCCTCCATCATCTACCACTGCGCCCTCCGAGGCCTGGAGCGCCTCCTACTCTCCGAGCAGCTCTCCCGGCTGGACACAGAGTCCCTAGTCAAGCTGAGTGTGGACAGAGTGAACGTGCACAGCCCACACCGGGCTATGGCCGCCCTGGGTCTGATGCTCACCTGCATGTACACCGGTGAGCAGTTGTGAGGGCCACCCACTCACGCAGCCACTGTGATCAGCCGTATGCACAGCCCAGTTTCTGTCCAGCTCCTTAAAGGTCCCTTGACGTGAGACCTGAGCCGGCCCCAATCACCTTGTGAGAGATTCTTGAGCCCAGGGCAGGGGCCTGGCTGAGGTGGCTCCTAGGTGCATAGGTGTCAGACCCACCTGGCCACTGCATTCCTGGGGCCCAACAATGGGGACCGCGCAGGGGCCTGGCTGGCCAGGGGCTCATTCACCTGCTTCCAGGCCCTCACCAGAGCTCTGTTCCGTTCCTGCGCACAAACCTCTGTCTGCAGAGACACTCGGGTTTCAGTCATATAACCTGGCACTGCTGTTTCAGGAAAGGAGAAAACCAGTCCAGGCAGAACTTCAGACCCTAACCCTGCAGCCCCAGACAGCGAGTCCGTGATTGTGGCCATGGAGCGGGTGTCTGTTCTCTTCGATAGGTGAGAAGTCCATCCTGTGACTGGTTCCTGCCCTCCAGCTGGTCCAGCAGCAGTGGCCATCGTGCATGTTCATGTGTCCAGTTGGCCCTGGCTGTGTCCTGCCATGCTTCCCCTCATACCCTGGTCCTGCCTGGCCCCACGTGAGGGTGGGGCTGACGGCGGCCCCCCTGCTTTCCTTCCTCTCCTGAGGCTCTGGGGTGTGGCCTGGGGATTTGAGCAGGCAGTGGTAGTCACGCCCTTCACCATGCTGCCTTTTGTGAGCCAGGGCCAAGTGGAAGGTGGGTCCTTCTCACCCTGCAGGGCTGTGGAAGGGCACACATGGCACTTGGGAGCTCTGTGGGAGCAGCCCAAGAAGAGTGAGGCAGGGACACAGTGTCTTGGAGAGCCAAGACAGGGCGTGGCTCTGCATGCCACTTTTGGAGTGTCACACTTGCCGAGCATGAGGCCCATGCGTCCCCTCAGGCCACCTGGTCCCAGAAACATGATAGGCCTGTGTGCTGTCACACTGCTCTGGCTGTGGTGGCCAATGAGGGTGGAGTCTGGCCAGTGAGGAGCAACCTGGCTGTCTCCAGAGCACACTCAAGGGCCTGGCCTGTGTGCTCCGGCCGGGGGCACCCTGCACAGCTCACTGTTTCCACAGGAACTGGAGAGCGAGCTTTGCCACCGCCCTCCCGCCTTCTGCTCCATTCACAGAGCAGCCCCTGCAGTCAGGCTTGGAGCCAGCTGGAGGTCCCCATGGGGTGCCAGAGACAAGCCCCTGCCATCGGAGAGTGGAGGATGTGGCTGTCTATGAGCTCAAGCGTCCAGCTGGCTGCTCTATAGGGGCCACGGGGAGGTGCGGCTGGCAGACAGGCAGACTCTCAGTTGAGTCCTTCTGGGCAGCGGGCTGCAGGCAGGCCACCTGGGCACATGCAGGAGCTGTTGCCAGCCTCTGGCCATTTCCCATGCCTGTCATCCATCACGGTCTTGTGGGCACAAGTGGGGCAGTTTTAAGCCACTGTCTCTCAGTGTTGGGAGGATGCTGCCGAGGCTGACTGTTGGGGTCTGTTGGAAGATGAGTCTCCAAGAGCACAGATGGGCTCCAGGCTCGAAGGGAAAGAAATCCTGGTTGACAGCAGCGCGTTAGACGTGTGGTGTGGAAAATTCCATGGAGCTTCTGGACAAGGAGCAGTCCCCACTGCACGCATCCTGCTTATTCCTCCACCTGGCCTGGGTCCCCCCTGCACCACCCGCACATACCTGTGCATAGAGCAGTCCAGAGGACAGCTGGAGAGCGAGGTTTTGCCTTTTTGCTTAGAATCCGAACCCTTGCCACAGCCCATGCCCCACTCAGAAGGTCCCTGCAGGTCAGCTCATGCTCCACCCCTGCTCTGTGGCAGGGCTCCTGGGCAGGGTCGGTGAGCCAGGGGTAGGTGGGGCTCTGATCTGCTCCTCTCTCTCCAGGATCAGGAAGGGCTTCCCCTGTGAGGCCCGGGTGGTGGCAAGGATCCTGCCACAGTTCCTGGACGACTTCTTCCCACCCCAGGATGTCATGAACAAGGTCATTGGAGAGTTCCTGTCCAACCAGCAGCCGTACCCACAGTTCATGGCTACTGTCGTGTACAAGGTGAGGGAGTCTGTGGGATGGGGGTGGGGCCTGGGGCCTGGGCCCGGGGCCGAGGTAGGTCCACCCCGGCTTCAGTGGATACACCACCAGGCCCAGGCTGTTTCCCAGGGACTGGTGGCCCCGCGAGAGCAGGTGCCCCTCCCGCTGCCCTACCTGTGGTGCCATGCCCCTTGCAGGTGTTCCAGACTCTGCACAGTGCCGGACAGTCGTCCATGGTCCGGGACTGGGTCATGCTGTCCCTGTCCAACTTCACGCAGAGGACCCCAGTTGCCATGGCCATGTGGAGCCTCTCCTGCTTCTTCGTCAGCGCGTCCACCAGCCCCTGGGTGTCAGCCATGTATCCTTCCTGGGCCCAGGTTGAGGCTAGCTGCCCCTGCCACCAGTCCTCACTGCTGTCGGCGTCTAGGTTCTGGTGGTGGCGAAGGCTTGGAAAGCTGTCCTTTGCAGAGTGCCATGAGGTTCTGGGCACTGTTTCCCAGCCCCAGGGGTGTAAGAGGTTGACAGGGACACAGAACAGGAGGTCCAGCCATTTGCTGGCAGGGCTGCCCAGGCCGGTGTGTGGAAGGGGCCGCTAGACTGGTGGTGGTGGGGAGGAGGGCTGTGGCTGCCCTCTGCTCAGGGTGCCCCTGTGCAGCTGGCTTGTCCCATCCTGTGCTGCTTCTCATTAGCTCTTGTCATTGTGTCGTGCTCGCCCTCCTGGGGAGAGGCATGAGTCAAGCCCCCACTCCACCCGCCAGCTCTGCCGGCAGGAGTTCCCCTCTTGGTGGCCTCCTCCAAACAGACTGAAGGAGCCTCCGAGCAGCGCAGCTGTGCTGTGCTCACTGCGCAGCCTCACGGTGCGCCAGGGAAGCCGGGCCTCTGGGCAGCCGGGCCGCCTTGCCCTCCCTGCACCGAGCACCCAGCCAGGTAAGTGCTGCGGTGCAGGGCTCTGAGCAGCCGGTGGAGGGAGCACCCTGCCGTGGCGGGCAGAGCCAGCTGCTCACCGGGAGACGGAGGGAGCGCCACTGCCGTAGGTGCTGTCCAGGCTGCCTTGGTCACCCGGCCTCCCTGGCCAGTCTGTAGGCTGGGTGGGAGGAGAGGGCATCTTCCCTGCCTTGCTGGCCTTCTCCTTGACCCCTGCCAGCCTCCCTCACGTCATCAGCCGGATGGGCAAGCTGGAGCAGGTGGACGTTAGCCTTTTCTGCCTAGTCGCCACAGACTTCTACAGACACCAGATAGAGGAGGAGCTCGACCGCAGGGCCTTCCAGTCTGTGTTTGAGGTGGTCGCGGCACCGGGAAGCCCGTACCACCGGCTGCTGACTTGTTTGAGAAACGTCCACAAGGTCATGACTTGCTGAGCGTCTGTAGCAGCAGAGGCCTGAAGGAGGTGGTCTGAGTGAGCCCTGCCTCTGCTGGGGCCACCTGGGTCATGGCAGGCTTCGGTTCGTGTCGCATGAGCTGGCCGGGTGTGCGTGTGTCTCTGCCCTGAGACAGAAGTGCACTTTGCAGCAAGGGCTGTGCAGGGAACACACAGCAGATTGGGCTTGAACCTGAGTCCTGTGCTGGCGGCCATGCAGCTGGCAGGTGTTGTTCCTCCTAGCATTCACCTGTCCGCTTCGTGGGGTGGCAGGGGCCCTGCGTCCAGGCAGGAGCCCTTGCTCTTGGAGGTGGCCCTGGCCTCCCTGTCCCACAGACTGGTGCACTGCCAGCGGGCTGCAGAGCCCTCCCTGTGTCTCCCCAATGGGGTGCGCCTGCCACTCCCGTGTCTGGATGCTGTGGTGTGTGGAGGGTCAGGCCAGGAGGCCCCAGATGCCCAGTGCCAGTCTCCCTTTCTGTTTTCTTCTCAGGACTTAAAATTTAATTATATCAGTAAAGAGATTAATTTTAATGTAACGCTTCCTATGCCCGTGTACAGTGTGTGACTTGCAAGGCCTGTGCTGCATGCAATAGCGTCTGTGGACATGGACAGGTCCTCGGGCCACCACTCCTCTCCCGCCGCCACTCTAGCTGGTGGGGCAGCGCCCGCCCCCCCCCCCCCCCCCCCCCTTGGGGGGGGGGGGCCCCCCCCCCCCCCCCTGCACATAGCTCCCTTTCCTGTGTGTTCCCATGAGGCAGAGCAGAGAGACACTGGTGTCGGCCTGGCTCCGAGACTGTGGAGGCGCTCTCCACCGTGCACACCGCGGGGCCTCAGGCACAGACAGGCCTGGCGACCTCGCCCAGGCCCGGCCAGGACCGAGGTCTGCGCAGCAGCTGGCCAGCCAGTGTTAGGTGCGCTGTCCCCTTGCCACTTTGCACAGTGGGGCCCTGCTGGGGCCTGGCCTGCGGCCCCAGGGCATCACTCAGCTGTGTCTTGTCTGAGCTCCTTGTGGTGTCTTGGCGACTGTTGAGGATGAACCCCAACACCTCTTCTGCCCCTTTCCAGTTCTCATGCATGCGCCCCTCAGCCCCAGAGTGTGCAGACCTGTGTGCATCAGAGCACAGGGGTGAGGCTCACTCTTGTTGTGTGGAGGTAAAATGGTGAGGAGGAGAGGGCCTATGGCTGGTCATCTGTGGCCTGGAGACATCTCTGCTTCTACCCCAGCTCTGCTTCTCCAATCCTTGGACTCGCTTCTAGTTTCTAGGCCCAAACAGCCAGTGGTTTCAATGGAGGCAAGCCTGGACAGCAGGGCTCCCTCCATGCACTGCTTGCTGTGTGGCAGGGCCGGCAGCGGCACGCACACGCACACACACACACCCCCCGCTGGGCAGGCCCAGCTGGCCAGGGGACTGCTGTGCTGATCGGTTGGGTCATGACATCGATGTCTCAGTTGCACATGGTTCGCGTAGAGCACTCTGAGCTGCTTCCGGTCTGCCAAGGTGGAGAGCTCCTTTGGCTTGTCCCATTAGCTTGCTGCGTGTCGGTCTGCAGTGCCGCCTGACCCCTCGAGCTCCCCTGTCCTCTCCTGCTGTGGGGTACAGGGTTGCCCGTGGAGAGCCCCTCGTGGCTAGCATGAGGCTTTTCCTGCCAGTCCCAGCGGAGGCCTCAACAAGCCAAGACCAACTCATCTTGGTAGTCAGCAGCTCAGACAGTAGAAGTGGATCCAGTTTGGGGAAGACTAGGGAAATGACTGGATTTTAACAGAAGTAGAAAGTCACCGATTCTCTCTTAGTGACTTGGGGCTCCCATTCTCATCCCAGCTCTCCCTAGAAAGCTGCTAGAAGTTTGTGAACTGTGGGAAGTTCTGCCGCCCGCCCCCAGCTTGTCCCAGCAGCTCTGAGGCAGATGTGTTGCAGCTGGATGTTGTTCCTGGCTAGTTGTTTACATTTGTGAGAAGTAACACTGTGAATGTGAAATTTGGAGCCATTCCCATTGGAATTTGTGTCACTGGACTCAGTGTAGAGACTAATTGGCCTCTTGTTCACCGCATCATCTAAAACAGTGGGTGCTTAGCACAGGGGCTGGAGCCCAGCTCTGGCCATAGGCGCCAACCCAAAGACTTGTGTGTCCCAGTAGAGATCTGGCCGTGTGTGTGGATGTGTGCACACCCACCCCTGCATTTACACATACACGCCTCATGTCAGACACACATGCCCTCCAAGAACACCTGTGTCCTGGACTGGAGCAGCTGCGAGTGGAACTCGGTAGGAAGGGTCTGTGCTTGGAGAAGTCCGTGAAGAAAGTGACCCAGCTCACCAGCTGTGCACACGGGATCAAGGTTTATCAAATTCCTCCAAAGCTATGGGTCCCAAATTGTATCAGAAACGTCATTTTGATCGTCAGGTATTTTGGGGGGAGGCAGGGTAGTGTTTTTGTTTTCCTGCTGGTACTATCAGGAAAGATTTTAATGAAACCAGGGTAGAATTGTTTGGCAATGCACTTAAGCATGTTTCCTCTCCAAATCGTTCGTCCCTTCCGCTGCTGGCCCCGCTGACACATGGAGGTGACTTCCAGCTGCAAGTACCCTTTCTCATACTCTTGCTTTTCACCTGCATGTGGACCCACCAGGAGGAAGAGTGGAGTGGAAGCGCCCCCAGACACCCAGAATGTACCCACCAGGGAGCTCCTCCCATGGAGCCGGGGCCGCAGTGTCCTGGCCTGGAGCTCCTCATGTGGGCGGCTCACACATCAATAACTGCCTGGCTCTTGGCTACCTGGCGTTGCGGGGCTGGCGTGGACTTGGCTCTGTGCTTGTGAAGTACAGTTCCTCTTCCTCCCTGTGAGCGTCCTTCCCTGTCAGCCTCCTCACATAGGCCTGTGCCTCCCTCTCTGCGCAGGGTGCTGGGTGCAGGGACCAGAGCGGCTGGCTGGGTGAACTTAGTGTCCCCTGGAAGGGATGTGTGGGAGCAGTAAGGCCTGGAGAGCTGTTGGGGCTGGTTGGAGGGCTCAAGGTGGCCAGGAGAAAAGAAGACTGCCCTTGTCCAGCCCAGAGTGTGTGTGGGGAAGGAGGGACTTGGAGAACCTTGTGACCCCGGGAGGTACCTGAAGGCTCAGGGCCATCTTCCCTGTGTGCCTGTCATGTTTCAGTGCCGTCACAGAAACCTCGCCCGCCCCCAAGTGTTTCAGGGAGCAGATCTTCCACTGCACGCGGTGGGTGGGCTGTGGGCAGCAGGAACCGGGCTGTGAGCAAGCAGGCTGCGGGCAGCGGCTGTGATGGGAGCATCCCGGAGCGCCACCCAGCCCTGACTGTCCACTTCCGAGAGGAAGGACTGGCATCAGATGTATATTCAAATTTTTTTAACTGCTGCAAATGTTGTACATTCAAATTAAAGGAATAATCAAACCACCTGTTGTTGCTGTGTGGGGCTCACTCTCCTTACTGAGAACCATTTCCCCTGTGGCCAGCGAGGCCAGTGCTGCCCGCAGCCCTGTGACACTGCAGGCCAGGCAACACGAGCGTGTGGAGAGGAGGACTGGGCCCTCCTGTGCTTCCTGCAAACACCGTCCTACGCCGTGGGGGCCTTGCTGCCTAGCAGGCGCGGGCTGCAAGAGCGCTGATGGTGAGTGGCTCCGCAGGCTCACCTCGGCCCTCCTGCGTGGGCCTCCCCTGCTTCCACAGTGGTCCCAGGGCACTAGAAGTGTGGAAGGGGTTGTGTCTGTGCTCCTGGCTCAGCTGGACTTGGCTGGCCTCCCCACCTCTTGCCTGGCTGCTGTGTGTGCAGTGCCCAGCCTGTCCTTTTTAGCTCGTCAGTCCTTCCTCTCCTCTAAGAAGTCCCCTGCTCAGCTCAGCAGGGCCGCCTTCCTGAGCTCATGGTGCCCTCCTCAGCCTTGGTGGCCTGTATGGTAGTGATCCTGGGGCACAGGTGCTTTGCCCACCAGCCTGCAGCAGTGGACACCTCAGGCTGAGGGCTGCCTGGGGCAGGGCGTGAGTGTTCCAGATGGCCCGCGTCACTCCTCTGTGCTCTGTCCCCACAGCAGAGCTGGCCCTGTGGCCAGTGCCAGGAGAGAGGGTAAGGGCCAAGGCAGATAAACTGGGGACCTCCTGGAGCTCGGGTCCCCTTACTCTGCACAGGATGGCGAGCACTCGGCCAGAGGCTCTGGAGGACGCCCCACCAGGTTTCACTGTCCCCTCAGTTACTGTAAGTGTTCAACTCCCTGCATCTGTCTCCTCATTGGTGGCAACCCCAGGGCCCCAGTGGCCTCGGACTTCAGCGCTGCCTGTGTTCTGGTCACTTCAGGGAAACTGAGCTCCCCTTCCTAGCCAGATGTGTGGATAGCCAGACCCTGGCACACCTGGCCAGTATGGCTGGTGTTTTTAAAAATGGCCTGGTCCCGATGGAAAACAGCCCTCAGCAGGGCTGCCCACAGCACACTGCACTCAGTGGCTGCAGTGGTGTTTTGTTTCCAACAGTGACCACTTGGCTCCCAAAAGTATTGTGAAATCATTCCCTGAGTGGAGTCTGGAGTCTGAAAGTGGCGGGTGAGGTGAGAAGCAGGGCCACAGCTCGCCTCCAGCTTCAGGCTTCCTGGGAGCACAGAAGGGGCCAGGTGCCCCCGTGGCACCATGCAGCCAGCAGGCTGGGGACCCGGGTGATGGAGCCCAGGAACATAGCGGCTCCGGCCCTCAGTGGGCCGGGAGCACCACAGCTTGCTGTCCGGGGCCCTTCAGTGGCCAGAGGCACCTGGCTCTGGTGCCTGCCATGTCCCTGGAGCTGTCGGGCATCTGTGGCCCACCTGGCCCCTCAGCCACCCAGCCTGCTCCCCATCTGCTCAGGTGGCTCAGCCCTCTGGAGGGCTTCCTCCCTGTCATGGTCCAGCGGCAACAGGCATCTGGGCCGTGGGCTTCTGGTGACACTGTTGGCTCAGGACGGGCCTGACCGCAGGGGCGGAGGGCCACAGCAAGCAGTCTGGGAGGATGGCAAGGCCCAGCACATGAACCAGGCACAGACTTCCTGTCCCCTACTGACCCAGGCAGCCTGGTCCTGAGCTGCTGGGACAGGCAGGCCAGTCCTGAGGAGCATGGCCCATCACACCCCACTGAGATGGCAACCCTTCCTGTCGCCCACTCCTGGGCAGCCCTGGCTCCTGCGACCTAGGCTGGGCTGCCTCCCAGCCAGGCTGCCCTCGCACTGCCCCTACCCTACCACACACACTGCCTGTTTCCCAGCAGTGGCCAAGGTCTCGGTTCTCTAACCTCCAAATTCCCCTGTCCCCAGCAGAGGCTCAACTCAAGGCTGCAGGGGCTCGGCTTCCTTCAGTAGGTCAAGCCCTGCACCACATCCCCAGTCAGCCCTGGTTTCCTGCAGCAGGGCAGCAACCATCCATGCCAAGTGAATAAGAGTGTGTAGGGTTGGGCCCAGCCTTGTTAGAGGGGAGACAAAGAGCCAGAGAGCACAAGTCTCCCACTGTGCAGCAGGACCAGCCTGAACCCTTGTGTGCTCAGGCCTCCCATGATGCTCCTGCTGAGGCCTGACTGCCCCTCTCCCTGCAGGTGCTGCCGAGTACCCAGCCCCAGGCCCTCTGCCTCCCAGTCCCGCAGTGTCTGAGGGTCCCAGCAGGTCATGCAGCTGTGCCAAGGTACGGAGCTCCTCCCCTAGCAGACAGACAGCTGGGGCTAGGCGTACCACGTTGGCCAGCCCAGTTCATCCTGTCCTGGAGGCCCAGGCTCTGCTTTGGGAGGCGTCCCAGGGGCACACTGTTGGGGCTTTCCATGCACCTCAGCCTGAGAAGGAAGGGTTGGAACCTTTTCCTCTAGGGTTCTTCCTGGGCCAACCAGAATTCAAGCAAGCAAGGTGCCCTTTGAGCTCTCTAAAGCCTCCAAGGGGAATCTTGGGAGGAGCTGGATTTGGGGGAGATCAAGATACCACCATCTCCCCAGGGCCCCTCAGCCAGCACCACACTGGGTGATGTATAGTCCCCCAGCCAGGTCCTGTCATTCCCACTGTAGAGATGAGGAAGCTGAGGGCCAGCGGCGAGGGAGGTCATGCTCTGAGTCACTGGAGCCCTGGGCTGTGCTTGCCCATCTTCCCTGTGTGCTGGGAGTGGGGTCACCCCACCTCTGACCCTGGGGGCCCACCGGTCAGGTAGAGCCTGTGCCTGGGCCGCACTTCTTAGAGTAATGGACCTTCCAGGCCTTTGGAACTCAGCCCAGGCACCGCGCTGGGCTCAGGGCGGCCGTGAGCCCACAGGCCAGCAGTGCAACCTAGGATGGACCTTGACAGTGAGTAGGGAGGATTGAGGAACCCTCCGAGGGAGTGCAGCAGTCACGGCTGCAGACTTCTGGGCTGCACAGCTGCCAGTGCGGACAGTGGGCCCTGGGGCTCTAGGTAACCCTAGGGCCCTAGAGAAAGGTGTTCAGCTTCCCTAGCTCTGGACCCACAAAGGGGCACAGCGAGCCGTCCAGGGGCTGCCATGTTTGGGAACTCCACACAGTGGGGGCAGCCTGGGGCCCACTGGCGCCAGGGGTCCAGGCCCCCACAGGGTACCGTAGGAGCTCTTGGCAGAGCACACTTGGGGCTCAGCTCCCCCCATTTGTCATGCCAAGGAGGGCTGGCGGGTGCCCACTGCCCCCTGCTGACCAGGGGCTTTCAGCCTGGGTGTGGGGCTGGGCAGGATCACCATCCGGGAAGTGGCCAGGTCCCCTGGTCTGTCTCTCCAGCACGGGGGCCTGGGGCTCTGTGTGGTCTCATTGGACTTTTACCTCTTAAATGCTGGCCCTGGGGTGGCACTCTGTGCAGCCCCTCCTAGCACTGATTCCGCTCTCCTACCCCCAGCTGCTCTGGCTGCGGTCCCCACAGGCCCTGCCGGCGTTTCAGTCCTTCAGCCCGGTGCGGGTGAGAGCCTGTGCCCAGCTTTGCCCTCACTCTGCCTTTGCCCCACGTGCCTGGCTCGCGCCCCCCAACATGTCTGCCTTGGGGTCCAAGTCTGGCTGGCCCTTCCCAGTGCCACACCATCTGGCCTGATCTCCTGCCTCCAACCAAAGCTTGCCTTTGCCCTGTGCTGTCCTCGTCCCCCAGCCTGTGCTGAAGGTCAGTGTCCGTGTTCCCCAGCCAGCACCACTGAGCAGGGCCTGGCTCTGATCAGCCTGGGTTCTCTGTCCCCGGGACCGAGGCCAGTGCTTTTGGTTGGTGGAGCAAGAGGGCCTCGTGCTGTCCCCTGAGACCTGGGACCCAGCCTCAGCCAAGGACCCCACCAGCCACCTGGTCAGTCAGCATGGGGGCCTCAGCCTGCCTGTCTGCCCACCCTATGTCCCCTGCCCCACCTCCCTGTGGCCATACTGTCCTGTGCCACCCCCACTGCCCGACGTGGGCTGCCTGGCCCTGCCTTCCAGACCTGGCTGGCACCACGGAAGGCGTTCTCTGCACATGGCCCAGGCAGGCCAGGCCTGGTGGGCTGGTGGGAGGAGGCAGGGCTGGGGCCGACCCCGGGTTTGGGCCCAGCACTTGCTGCAGTATTGATGGCCCGTCAGTATGGCCCGATTCCTGTGCTTTCTGTTAAAAGGTTTCTGTTGTTGTAGCTTATGCAGTTGCTGTGTTGCTATGGAAACGTGACATCAAAATGACGTTTCCCGTTTAAAAGCTTTTAACTAAATTCCTGCCTGTCAGATGTAGGCCCCATTTTGAGCGTGGAGCTGCCTCGAGCAGGCTAGCGTGGTGCCTCCCGCCCATGGTGCGAGGGCCGGGCCCAGGGCCCTGCCTGAGCGCCGTCCTTAACCCCACAGGTGCCTCCAGCATGGCAGCGGCCGAAGTGCCCGGCTACCTTGTGTCTCCTCAGACGGAGAAGCACCGGCGGGCCCGCAACTGGACGGACGCTGAGATGCGAGGCCTTATGCTCGTCTGGGAGGAGTTCTTCGACGAGCTCAAGCAGACCAAGCGCAACGCCAAGGTGTACGAGAAGATGGCCAGCAAGCTCTTTGAGATGACGGGCGAGCGCCGGCTAGGCGAGGAGATCAAGATCAAAATCACCAACATGACCTTCCAGTACAGGTGGGCGCTTGCGCCGCCGGGTGAGGGCGGGCGGGAGGCACACTGGGCGTAGTGGCCACCGGCCCAGGGCCCCACACAGACAGACTGCCTCAGGAGCCACTCCTGCAGCCTCCCCTTGGGGAGATGGGGAAACTGAGGCCCAGCAGATGCAAGAAACTGGTAGGGAACCCTTAGGTGCCAGGGACTGCTGTTGCCTTCCTGTTCTGGAGCTGGTGCTGGGCTGTGGCCCCAAAGACACACACGAGACCTGTGCACTGCCCTCACGACACTGCTGAGGCAGCGCCCTGGGCAGCCAGCACCCCTGGTCTACACTTCTCCACCCCACCCAGGGACCACAGGCTGTTGCCAGGGTGTCAGAAGGCCCCGTACAGGTAGGGAAACTGAGGCCAGAATGAGCAGGAAGCTCCACTCCCTAGTCTTATCTGGTCCTGACCCTCGAGGACTTTAAGCTTGTGCCATGTGCCTAGTTTAGGGCCGAGGAGAGGGGCATTTAGGGCAGATGGTGAGACCCCAACGGTGCCCTGCGTATGGGTGGTGCTTGTTCATGGGAGGAAGGGGTGGAGCTCAGCCCAGTCGCCTTCTCTGGCTTCTGGGTTAGCTGCTCTTCAGTGGGGCTCCTGGAGGGAACCACACATCTCTGGCATTCAGGAAGAACGCCTCTGGCCCCACATGCCCAGCGCTCCGCCATGCAGGGACCCTGTCCCCCTGGAGAGGCTGGAGCAGGACAGGGCTCGTGGGCAGGGCCGGGATGTGGGCTTACCAGCTCGAGGAGTCTTGTGTGATACGAAGGTCATAGTGTGGGGTGAAGGTCGTGGGCGTGAGGAGGCTCGCACCAGGAGCTGCAGGCGCTGGTGGCCTGGGCCTGGCAGGGTGGGGAACGGTGTCACAGGAGGCTCACAGCAGTACCCAGGTGCAGGCATGTGGGCTGGTGCAGACGGGAGGCTGGGAGCAAAGGTTGCCTTACAGGCTTGCCTGCTGCACCCCAGGGGAGCACTGAGCCCCCATGCTACTCACAGGAGAGGGCCTGCCCAGCTTAGTAGGAGGAAGCTGCACCCCAGAGGGCCCAGCAGGGCCTACATAAACCTTGAGCCTCTGTTTCAAGTTGTGCTTACTTAACTTTCGAGGCCCTGGAGGAGCAGATCCCAAGCCTGGCCTGGAGCTGGAACCCACTGCCTAGAGTCCTTTAGTGTAAATGATGTTAAATTTGAGCCTCTGCTCCCGACTTTAGGGCTGAGATGTGAGTCTGGTGTCTGCAGATGGCAGCTCATGACCTGGCTGCCTGTGGCCTGGCCCACCTGGCCTGCCCAGTCCCCCTGGCCCCATTCAGACATCCGGTGAGCAGAGGGCTCCAGGGCCAGGGGAGGCCATGCTGGCTAGTACCCAGGCTCCTTCACCACTGTCATTCACAGTGAAGCCCGGCCTCTCCGATAGGTGTCTGGCTGGGTTATTCATTATTCATGCTGAAAGCCTCCCTCAGCGTCCCAGGGTCCCAGGGGAGGGATTCTGTCTCCACTCCTGGCTGGGAGAGGAGGGGTCCAGTCGGGCCGGGGCGCATGGCACTCCTAGCTTGGGAAGCAAGTGCCCACTGTGTCTTCCCATGGCTGCTGTCATCAGTCCTTGCTCACTCACCAAGGGGGAAGCTGCGGCCTGGAACTGCAAAGAGCCTTGCCACACAGACCTTCACAGGCCGAAGCTTCGACTGGCCCTCAGCTCTTTAGCTCCCACTCCGCCCTCCTGCTGCAGACACTGATTAATCCTTCACAAGGCCTTTCTATATATTGAGGTTATCCGACTAAGGAAGTGTGAGAGGTGGCTGCTTCCGTAGCTCGTGCTTGCTGCAATAGCATCCAGAGCTGCCCAGGCTGGGGACAGCTTCACCATCTCCACGGAGCAGGCTGGCTTGAGAGGGGCAGAAAGAGTAGGTGCTGGGGAGAGGTCGGGTGGAGGTTGGCATGGACACCAGGTGGACTCCTCACCTTCCCCTGCAGGTGGGTCAGCTGCCCACTGTCGGGAAGACAGAGTACCTGAGCCCTGCGCTGTGTGGTCTGTCTCCAGCTCTCTGCTGAGGACATTTTGCTTGGCACTGCCCGAAGCCTGAGCAGCAGAGGCACCCAGCCCGGGGGTTAGGCTGGTCCTCTGGGACAAGCATTGGCAGGCAGGTGGGAGCCCTGCAGCTCAGGAGCTGCTGGGGCTGATGGGGCAGAGGTCCCCCACCCTAGCCTGTGGCCTCACCCAACCCGCCTGCCACCCTGGGGCCAGGTCTCCCTGGCCCTCACCTCCCGGGCATGGGCCCCCTTGCGGCAGGACTTGCTGCAGGAGATGATGGCAGGCTGGCCAGGCAGGGCTCGGCTGGGGCCGTGCCACACAGGGTGCAGAGGAGCCTGGCAGGCCCAGTCCCATCCCCTGTGCAGGACTTCGGGAGTGACGGTAGCACTACCAAGTGAGGGCCAACGCAACTTCCTGTTCCATCCAACCAAGAGTGATGTTGGAGGCCGGCCTGCTGCTTGGCAGGCATTGTTTTATTAAATCTCCTCTTCGGCCTTGTGAGGGGCTTCCTCCTTCATCCCCATTTTACTGATGCAGAAATGGAGGCTCAGAGAGGTTAATGAACCTGCCCAAGGTCATACAGCACAGTGGTGATGAGACAGAGACTCAGCACTGTGGGTGGTGCAGCCTACTCCTGCAACTCTGTCCCTGAGGCATCCTCTCTAGGAAGCCATGGGCTCTTACCTTGTGATATCTTAGGGCTGGATCATAAGTTTGTCAGAATATTTTATTATTGCTGGGTAACTGATGTCAGAAGTAGTATGCATTCGTTGCGGAGTTTAGAAACTACAGAAAAGCTAAGAGAAACAACAGGAGCCACCCACGTTTCCAGCGTCCACGGCCGCCCGCCATGTATTTGGGGCATGTGCCCCTTCCTTCCCCGCCAGGGCCTCGAGCCTGCTAGGCAGCGCTAACCACTGAGCCACCTGCAGCCCCATGTGCTTCCTGTAGACTGGAGGCTGAGCATGTTCTGGAGCCTTGCTGCTCTGAGTCTGCTGCCACAGGGACCTGGAGCCTGGCCGATTTTGCTGGGGAGCCTGTGCTGGCCGAGAGTGGCTCCTGCCGTACCAGCGTGGCTCCCCGGGGGTCCCCGAGCCCCTGTGTGCCCCTCTGCTGAGGGGCCGGGCGGGACGGGCTGGGACCAGCTGTTTCTCACCCTTGGCTCTTGTGTCTCTCGTTTCAGGAAATTAAAATGCATGACAGATAGCGAGTCGGTCCCGCCGGACTGGCCCTATTACCTAGCCATTGATAGGATTCTGGCCAAGGTCCCCGAGGCCTCTGAGGGCAAAGTGCCGGACGGCCAGCAGCCGGGGCCCTCCACGTCTCAGACCGAGGCGTCTCTGTCGCCGTCCGCTAAGTCCACCCCTCTGTACTTACCGTATACCCAGTGCTCCTACGAAGGCCGCTTCGAGGACGATCGCTCCGACAGCTCCTCCAGCTTACTGTCCCTTAAGTTCAGGTAGTGTGCGTGCGCTCGCGCTTCCTCTCCTGACGGGGCCTCGCCCGCCCCGCCCCGCCCCGCCACCTGAGCAGCCATGCCAGAGCGGCAAGGTGACCGCCTGGCACCACGTCCTTGCAGTCTCTGGCCCGTCCAGGGCCAGGCCGGCCTCAGACAGTGGCCCATGCTTGTCTCCTGGCTCCACCACGTAGCTGCATGGGAAGTTCCTTGACCTCTCTGGCCTCAGTCTCCCTCCTGTGAAATGGGGATCTATCGGAACCTTCCTTGGAGAGGGCTGGGAGTGTCAAGAGAAGACACAGGGCCTGCCCCACGCGTGCCTCCCTGTCTGCCCGCACTCTCACTAGAGGTATTGCTGTGCTGTGGCAGGACAGACAGCCAGTGCTGTGGGGGCAGGGAGCCCGGAACAGGCACTTCAGAGGAAGGGACATTGAGTGTGGGCTTTCAAGCAAAATAGGAGTAGGCCAGGTGAAGAGTAGGAAGGGTGTGGCTTTGAGTCATAGTCTGTCCCTGTGCCCCAGTCATCAAGTCTGTCTGATGGGAGGTGGGGTGGGAAGGACTCCCCCAGTGCCCCCTTCCCTGGAGAGGAGCTCTCATCCATGATCCCAGACAGGCACGAACTATGCTCAGCCATCCTGAGTTAGCAGGAGGCCTGCGGTTTAGGGCCAGCTGTTTCCGGGATTATGAGCCCAGACCCCAGACTCTGCTGCTAGGGCCCCGCCCAGGGCTGTGACCCCAAGGCTGGCTGGTCACCTGCTGCTCTGGGCGAGGGGGGCTGGCCAGGAGGGTGGGGTCTGGTGGGTTCTGGAGATGCTGCAGGAGGCCAGGGCCAGCTGCCTCCACCTCTCTGCTCCCAGGGAGGAGCTGCCACCCCTAGGTAGCTGTCCTGCTTCCCCGCCCAAGTGCCAGGCCCCTCCATCTGGGATGCTGTCCCCGCCTGTCCAGGCCCGCTGGGCTGGTGCCTCTGTCTGCCCTGGGGAGGCCGCTCCGAGCCTGGGCCTGCTGGCTCAGGCTCACTGCCTGTCCGACTCAGCGGCTGGGGCTTCACGAGGGTGCCTGCCAGTCCCCACGGCTGGTGGTGCCTGCATTCCCTTCTCACCTCACACGCAGGGGTTGGCTCCCTGGGGCCTCAGGGTCCCTGGTGGGGTGGTCAGGAGGGTCCAGGCGTGGTCAGTTCATCCACAGCTGCTGCTGTCCCACAGGTCGGAGGAGAGACCGGCGAAGAAGCGCAAGGCACAGAGCGGCCACCTGCAGAGGAAGAAGCTGCGGTTGCTGGAGGCCATGCTGGAGGAGCAGCGGCGGCTGAGCCGCGCCATGGAGGAGACCTGCCGCGAGGTGCGCCGTGTGCTGGACCAGCAGAACATCCTGCAGGTGCAGAGCCTGCAGCTGCAGGAGCGCATGATGAGCCTGCTGGAGAAGCTCATCGCCAAGTCCAGTGGCTAGGCCGGCCGGGCTGCCGGGACCTGGGACATGGGCCGGGATCTACCGTCCTAGAGCACTCTCTCCAGGAGTCGCTCTCGGTGACACTCAAGGTGGCTTTGGATATTAAATGTGTACTTTTCAGTATTGCCTGGAAGTAGGACTGCGGCTCTCTGGCTTGGCAAGGCTGCACATGGCCATCGCTCCGTGTCCTCCTCCCCAGCTCTGCCCTTGGCGCTGGTGCTAATGTCATCTCCGGCCTCAATGCAGACCCCTCAGAGCCCGAGCTGCTTTCCGGTGGCCTCCCTTTGCTGCTAGCAGTGGTGCCATGGCCACAGCCTCCTGGGGCATGGCGCTGCACAGGCAGCCAGGCCGCTCCCGGGCACCAGCCCTGGGGATGTTGTGGCGATGAGACCAGGCTGGCTGTGAGGAGCCCCCAGCCCAGGACCGAAGTCAGCAGGGAAGCAGCTGTGGACAGCCCTGCGTGCCAGAAAGGAAGGGGCAGCCCGAGGAGAGGAGGAGTCAGCCCCCAGGAAAGGTCAGCACCGGGGCAGCCCCCGCAGACGCCAGAGGCTGGGGAGCCTGAGCAGTGTAGGGAGCAGGGAGTCGTGAGCCCGCTGGGAGGCGTCTCAGTGCCTCCACCCTGTGAGAGGGTCTTGGCCACCACGTGTCTGGATCCCGAGTCACAGGGGAGGGCAGGGCTGTGGTGGAGACCACAGCAGCCATCAGGCCGCACCACCTCCATCCTCGAGCTGGAGCTCTAGGGCAAAAGCCCCAGTTCCTGCTCCCACAGCCCAGGCTCAGCCGCCCATGCCAAGATGCCAGTCAAGGAGACCACAGGGGCAAGGGCAGGAGAGGAGCTTTAACCAGCGTGGCCATGTCAGGGGCACAGGGCAGTGCCAGATCTGTCCTCGGGGTTTTACAGGAAAGCAGAACGGAGGCAAGGGTTGGGGTTTGCATAGCTGGAAGGGTTAGGTCATCCCAGGTCCGGTTGATCGGCATCTCGGGCCTAGTTGATCGGCATCTCGGGCCTGGTTCCGGGAGGTGCTGGGAGAGCTGTCGAGGCAGGAGGGGTGGTCCGGCTCCTTGGAGCTGCTTCGTTGTGGGGTGGTCTGAGGCTGCCGTCCTCAGTGGGAACTGAAGCACTGCTCCAGGAGGTCTGGAACTGAACACTGTAAGCTGGCAGCTAGATGTCCCTGCAGAGCCCCAGAATTAAACCCTGAAAATTACGCTCGTTGCTCTCGTCTTGGTGTCCTCAGCCAGAAGGGTTCCGAGATTCGCGAGGAGAAGGAGCGCTAGTAAACCGTGTGCATGGGCGTTCCTGAGGTGACTAAGCTGCCCTCAGAGCTGGCAGGGAAAAGGGAGACGTCAGCGAAGGCAGAGCTGCCTGCTTGGGGCATCCTTGGGCCGACTGGATCCCTGTTAGCCCTCCAGGGCGAGGCTCCTGTCACTGCTGGACTGGAGGCTGGAACCAGGTGTGTGTGACTTGTCCCCTGGATAGGCAGACGGCTGCCCTGCAGGACAGGGCTCTGAGGCAGCGCTCAGCATTCAAGTGACAGGGGACCCGCTCTGGCTGCCAGGTGAGCAGACCATTGAGATAGTCATAGAAGCAGAGCTCTGCCAGACACTGCCACTGTCAACCTGGGGTGCACTGAGGTCATCTGGCAAGTGGTGGGCTCTGCCAGGCATGGGTCCAGCACTGGTCATCCAGAGTGTGGAGGCCAATCCCAGCCCACTGGGGCACAAGGGGACTGGGTGTCCTTGCAGCCTGGCACACAGAGCCGGCGAGCAGGCTCCACTGTGCTCTCAGGTCCCTGGCCTCCCCCTCCCTACCCTGAGCCCCTTCCTGCATGCTCAGGCTGCAGACAGGCTGTGTTGGTGTTTGCCCAGGTGCCCTGAGGCCGGTAGAGTGCTTCCTGAGTCTGGTGAATCCCCCCAAAGCCAACTTCCAGCTGCCGACAGGAAGTTCCTGCCTCGGAAGGTGAAAAAAGCCATGCACAGGTGGCCGTTGAGGGCCAACGAGAATGGCCCCAGGTCCCTCCTGAAAAGTAGTGGGGTGACCAGGGGAAGACAGGGACTCCACGGTCCGGAGCCTGCCCTGGTGAATGTGTAGCCCAGGTACCCACCTCCTTCTCAGACAAGATGCCACTTCCTCCAAGAGTTCATTGGCCTAACAGACACTGCAGTCCTGCTAGGCGCCTGGGTGGTCCTAAGTGCTGGGGACCTAGTCACAGATTCATAATGACCTGCCTGCTCAAAGCTCTGACCACTGAGGCTGACCAGCACCTCACCTGGCCACTCCAGGTTCCCCAGCCTCTTGACAGGAAGGGCAGCTCCAAGCCCTCGAGCAGGAGTTGCACCTGAGTGGCCTGCAGGGTGGCTCAGTCCAGAGGATAGAGGGTCTCATGTGTCTGCAGCATCGGGGCTCTGCGTCCCTGAACCCTGGTCACGCTCCCTGGGGTCCCGTCCCTGCCGGGCCTGTGCTCCCAAGTCATCTGCCCTGTCCCCTCTTCCTGCTCTCAGCAGAGCCTGGCCTCGAGCTCCGTGGGCAGGCACAGCCCTCCTTCCCACAGCTGGAGCAGGACCCACCCAGGTGAGCGGGGACTCAGCTGCCCAGCCCAGGCTGGCAGCCCGAGCAGTGTTTTGGTGACAGCTTTCTGATTTCCTCTGTGGTGGTTGGTTCCCTAAGGAGGAAAAATGCCTGTACCAGGAAACACTGGACTGTTTGATAAGGCTCATCCAGATAGCACTTCCTGAAGACCAAAGTCAGGAAGCAGGCGGGCACATTTGCTTGCTTTCACCTTATTATTCGAGGTTGTTCTGACGTTTATAGCAAGTGCATTAAGATAAGCAAAATAAGCAGGGTAAGAGATGAAATGAAGAAATGAGAAAAACCTTTATTTTCAGATAATGCTTTGAGAGCTTGTCTGGAGCTTCTAGCAGGGGAGCACAGCTCCTCCTGTACCCTTGAGCGAGGAAACAGTCCTCCTCTATTGGGGGTGTTCGTCCTCCTCCACTGAGCGCGCAGCTTTGGCTTCGGGAGGGCCGCACACGGAGTGCTGAGGGAGGAAGGCGACACCCGTCCGGCCAGCCAGGTCAGCAGGATCAACCCTGGCGCTCAGTGGGGTGACAGAGGTCGCAGCCAGATCGCCCTCGCACCCATATTTTCCGATAATACTTCGTAGACCCAGAACACTAAATGTACCAACGAGCAAGAGCCCTTTCTATCTGTTGGCTTAACCTATGAAAGTGAGGATGAAGAAACACCCCATTCAGAGTGGTGATGCCCCTCGTAGGGTGTCTGGAAACGAACTGAGCCAGAAGGGCAGAGTTCTGTGTGAAGAAGACCGCGGCAGCCATGGGGAGACCGGGAAGCGCACATTCTTCTCTTGGCTTCACCCGGGGCCTTCCGCCTGTGGTCTACACAGCATTTTTTTGCTTTGAAATGGTTGAAATTATGTTTTACCTCATGGAAAAAGAATGGGGCCAAACATCACGCTAATCCACATTCAGAGACCTGCGGGGAGGGCCAGGCAAGGTGGCACATGTCTGTCATCCCAGCACTCCAGAGGCTGAGGCGGGAGGATCGCCCTGAATTCAAGGCCAGCCTGAACTACACAGCGAAACCCTATCTCAGAAGACACGGTCAGCCTCCTGAGGATCGGGACATGCAAACTGAGGCCCCAGGAGTACGCCGTGTCATGTTCGGGACATTGGCATGGGGTCCCACAGCCTCAGAGACTGGGAGGGACGGCAAGCATGGAGCAGGCTTCCTGAAACTGTGAGGCAAGTTAAGCCTCTCCTCCTCCCTTTAAAGGAGAGACGATGGGAGCGCACAGGTCGGGGTGCAGATCCGTGTAGCCCCGCTTGCCGAGGAGCAGTGTGTCTGCTACAGCTGAGCAACACGTGCCCGAGTTCAGCCCAGCACCCGCCACGCATGCCAGTGAGAGCAGCGGGTCTCAGCCTGTGGCCTTGGACTCCTCATATGCACACAGGTGACCCGAGGCGCCGATGCCTTCTGCTTGTGGGGGCTCCAGAGAGCAGTCTCCCCTAGTGGAATTCCTTATGAGAAGTTAAATTTGAGAAATAATGATCATTTCAAAATAGCAACAAACCCATGCATGTTGGCACAGGTAACAATTGTGTGAAAAATGCATCTTGGGAAACAAAAGCCTTAGCAAGCAGGGCAGCGCTGTGCTCTCCACCTTTGCAGCCCATCCTGGGGAAGCCGTGGGCACTGTTCTGCTGCAATGGGTGGGAGTCAGTGCCGCAAGTCCAGTGTCACACAGGTGCGTGCAGGGACAGACCTAGGTGGCAGTGACCTCTGCAGGTGGCCGCGAATCTTCCTGGACCTGCCCTGAGGCCGGGAGTCAGGTGCGGAGCTGTCGGGCTTTCCTGTCGGTCTGTCATGTGCTTTAGTGACATGCTCTTGTGACAGGTTTGGGACCCAGCTGCTGGGCAGTGGGAAAACGCCCTCTGTGTGACACCTCCCAGCACCCACACAGCTGGTCAACGGCACCAGCAGTCACATCCACCGTGTTGCCGTCTGCCGGCAGAGATGTCTCAAGCGGGGAAGTCTCCGAGCTCATGCTGCTGGGTGCGGGTTTTCACCATTCTGAGTTTTGCTGAAAAGTTTGAACTGTGTCCTTGGTAACAAACACTGCCCGCCATTTCCCTTGGGGACAGGCCCACTCGGGTCCTTTCCAAGAAGAGACCTGCCAGCTACCACACAGGACAGCCAGCACAAGGATGAATGGGTCCCTTTGTGTCGTTTGTGCACATCCAAGTGTCAGGAGCAGGGCTGGGGATTTAGCTCAGTGGTTTTGCTGCCTGCTGCGCAAGCCCAAGGACTGGAGTTCGATCCCTGGTACAAAAAAAAAAAAAAA